GGGCAAGAATAGCCGCTAAATTCTCACGTTATAACGGTTAAGGATAGCCGCATAAATCCTTGGGTAAAGGTTCAAGGATAGCCTTGAAAATCCTTGGGGGAACATTAGATGATAGCCGTTAAATCTTCGTTGTAAACAGTTCGAGATAGCCGTTGTGAAATCTCAAAGTAAATCCTATTGGCAAGGGTTGTTTGCCAAACTAGTGCGGTGCTTTGACGAAGTTCAAGACACCGGGACTTAGTGGATTTGGAAATCCTTGAGGAGGAGGCTCGAGGCACAGGAATAGGGAGTTCCCTAACCAGTATAAAATTGGTGTGCATTTTATTTACACTTTTATTTTTGCGTTTTATATACTGCTTCCGCATTTGCCAACACCATTTTTATCAAACTCCGAAAACTTTTCAAACGCCTTATTCCCCCCTCTAAGGTGTGGGCACAACGACTAGCACCGAATAACACCTCCTTCTTGACCTGGACAAGTTTCACTCTCTGATGGCCTTGCTCGGCTTCCTTCTTCGTTCGGTCCTGGGTTTCGGCTTCTACGAGCTCCAAGGCTATATGATACGCCTCTTGGTAGATGTTGGGTGGTCTCCTAAATAATTCCTTGTATAGCTCTCATGCCCAGAGGACACTCAACAAGAGCAACAATGCCGTGTTGTCATCCATCTCCTCGACCCCTTCAACCTTGTCCGTCCACCTTGTCAAGAACTGAGTGAGATTCTCTGACTCCCGCTACCCGGCAGTGCTCAGGTAGGTGAAATTCTTCCTCTTAGTGAAGTTTTCCTTAAACTTGGCCTTAAATTTGGTGGCCAGCTCATCAAAGGAGTCAATCTTGCCCGACGGAAGCTTGTTGAACCACTTTTCCACTTCCCCACACAGCGACTAGAAAAAGAGGAGGCATTCTTCCTCGTCGATACATCCCATAATCGTGGCACTCTGGTGGAAGGAATTGAGATATACTTCATAGTCCTCCTTACCCGTGAATTTCAGGTTTTCCATCTTCACCTTCAGGGGAAAAAGAATTTGATGGATCCTTGCAGTGCACATCGAGTCCACCAATCGTTGCTTTTGCGTGTTGTTCTTTTCTTCCACTTTTCTTTCCACCCTTTCTAGCTTCGCCTTTACTTGTTGGACCTGATCAGGGGGATTCCTCAGCTTGCTTCGTGCGGGTTCACGTGGTTGGCTATCTGCTTCCTCCCCGTGGCGCAACACACAGGAGTGGGCTGGCTCCCCCTAATCAACCGGGTGCACTGGGAACAAGCAGGCTAGGCCTCCCTTCCCTCACCCAACTGGGAAAATGCACTGATGTGGGTGGTGCTGTGTCCCAAACTTGACTTTGCGGATTTTCGCTGGCGTTCTTCCCTTTCTCCCAACCTTTCAAAGGCTTCTCCATGGATGACGTGAGTCTTGGTGCCTTACCCTACTTCCTCTTATGTGCACGGGGGATGTCGCACTCTTCGTCCCCACTCTTGATTGATATGAAATGGCCATGTGGGGTGCTCTGTGGGCGACGTCATGGGAGCCTGCAGCGGTACCTGCCTGTGCCGGGTAGCGTAAAAGGAAACATCCTTGAGAGGCAAGGCATTCCTCCCGCCTGCTGGCACACAACCATCACTTGGCTAAACCCCTAGATCCCCTACAAGTCATGCTTGGAGGAAAGGTTACCCTTGGGTTGCCGAAGGCAAAGGGAACGGAACCATCTGTCCGATACATGGTGTGGTGATGGAGGGAGCCGTGACCTGGCTTAGACCTAACGGAACCACTGCAACAGAAGGGGTCTAGGCTGAGGTGAGCGACACGACCACTACCTCGGTGGCGGCATGTCCCTGAACAATGTTGACAATGACATTTTGCCAGCTCGTAGACATTTTGGGTATGTGGTGTTTCGTGAGTAAGTTTTCTATAAAGAAAAGGAAAAACCCTTACGGCCCCACGGTGGGCGCCAAAAATGATGGTTTAAATTACAACCCAGGTAAACTAATCTTGACCGGGTCTAGGGTGGTTTATTGTGTTTAGATGCTTAAAGGTTTCACGAGATGAAGATTCACCGAGAGGACTGTATGTGGGAACACCTGTAGTCAAATTGTTATTAAGTGTGGGAAGAATACATGGAGAATTACACAATGTTCTCTAGGGAGAAATGTCCAACAAAAATTTGGATCCCTTCTACCGAGGGTTACAAATCTATTTATATTGGGATTAGGAGGCAAGCTGGCGTGCACCTATGCTTGACCACGTTCCTGGCACGTGACAGGGTGCAAGTCCTGCTGCCTCTTTTGGCTCGTAGCGTTTGTCTCTTGTTCCTTGGGACTTTCCCCTTGCGAATGTCCCCTTTTGGCGCGTAGCGTTCAGTTGGGATCCCCCAATATGTCCTTTGGAGGTGAGGAATCTGGTCAGATCAGATTACTTCCACATCGCTATCTTCTAGCATGCTGAACCACTACTTGGGTGGTTTCTCGAATTATTGGCTTGAAGATCTGAAGTGCGGTGGATACCCAACCACCCATGTGGTTTTCTCCCCCACCGGTCAGGTCCCTATTCGGCCCCAAATTCTTTGCATGTGTTGCTCGTGCCTCTCCTGGTTGTTTTCTTTTGTGTCTGATCAGGGTCGGGTGTTGGGTGGGAATATACGGGTTCAGGTCTATAGACGACCCATTGACAAGTCTAATTGTTTTTTTGAACCAAGCATTTCTCTAATATTTTACTAAATGTAGTGAGTGGATATTTAATTCCAGACATCCTAAAATGGAAACTTCCAACAACTAAAAATGGATGGAAGGATCAAGTACTTTATTATACAGAGTAAGTTCTAGGTTATTATATGGAGTAATTTATATCTGAACAAGAAAGAATATAAGCAGTTTTAAAAAAATTAAGTCATTAAATAATTAGGGTAAATTTAGGTAATGGTACCTGAACTTTTACTTGAATTTCGAAGTGGTACCTGAACTTTCAATAGCGTTTCGAAGTGGTACCTTAACTTTCAATGGAATTTCGAAGTGGTACCTGAACTTTAAATCCTTTCACAAAAGTACGTGAACTTACATAATCCTTTCACTAAAAATCCATTTACCCGTTTTCAGGTTAACTTCCGGTCATTTGGGCTAAGTTAGAATTTTATATATTTTAAAATTTTCAATTTGACCCTATTTCTTTTTTTCTTCTTCTCCCCCCNGGGGGCAATCACGTTTTGATTGATTCTTGGTGAATGAATGTTTAATCACAACAAAAAGAAGGCTGCCATTTTTGGCCGAGCTTCAGAGCTTTTAATAAAATTTGGGATGAGAATGGACAATTGGATTAGGTAATAAGAAACTTGGGTTGAACCACATTAAAAGATTGAATCCAATCAATTAGTTAGTTCAACTCACGAGCTTAAATACCGATTATTTTCCTCACACTTTTTCGATGTGGGATACTCTTAACAAGTACTCCCTCCGTCCGAGCACTATTCCAACTTCACGGGAATTTATATTTATTTGTGTTTTTTCATTGCCTATATGATAAAATAAAATATTCTTGTCACCACTTGTTTTGTTGAACTTTTGATGTAGTTTTTAAATATGTATGTTTTATTTTTTATTTGTATACCAATATTTAAATAAAATAGATTGAAAAAAACTTGGGATTTTTTTTCGTTTTACGCAACGGGAAGAAAGTTTTAGGACGGAGAGAGTAATAATGATAATAATGGATTCCATGAAATGAAAAAAGACGAAGCGTTGTAAAGAAAATGGGGGTGGGAAGGAGGTTCGTTTCTTGCTCTTCTTCGTCGGTTTCTTTGGACAGAAAGAGTGTGGTGTATTGAGTCTCCAGTTTCTTATCAACTCTTCAACTTTCCACCGCTTTTTTGTTTATCTCTTTTTTTTTATTCTCATTTAAATGGAATGAATCACGTAAATTTATACGGAGGATTATTTTTTCATTTTTAGATTTGAAATTGAAAGTGCTTTTTTTTTGTTTGTTTAAATTAAACCGGAGTATAAGAATTCTCTTGGAAGGCAATACTTTCCAGAATGGACTGAATTCTGATTTGGAGTTCTACAGATATTTCTTGCGGCTGGTAGAGAAGAAGAAGAAGAAAGGGGTGAAAGAAGAAGAAAAAGAAGGGAGTGGGAGGGGAAAGAAGAAGAATTTAACCCAAATGACCGGAAGTTAACCTGGAAACGGGTAAATGGACTTTTAATAAAATGATTATGTAAGTTCAGGTATTTTTGTGAAAGGATTTAAAGTTCAAATACTACTTTCAAATTCCATTAAAAGTTTAGGTACCATAACTGAAATTTACCCCATTAAATTATTATTATTCTTTGACATTTTACAATGAGCACGGCAATATGGTGTAGGAGGAATGATGGGGGATGAAATGGAGCAATTTTCCGTATCCTCTACATGTAACTGATGTACGTGGTAAGGAGAGCAACTTTCTCATTTACCAAAAATAATACTTCATTCGTCCCTTAAAACCTTTCTCCTTTCTTTTTTCATCCGTCCCAAAAAGCATTTCTCATTTTTATTAAAAAGTCAATTTTACCCTTACATTTTCATACCCTACCTATCACATCATACATTTTTACTAATAATCTATCCATCAAATCATACTTTTACCCATCACATCAAAGAATATTTTTGGAAATTCAATATCAAAATACACTCCACTTATATCTCTTTTCAAAATCAAAACTCACATGTTTTCCGGGACGGAGGGAGTACTTCTTTTGTTATTTGAAACAGTTTTTCTTTTATTTATTTATTTTCATCAAAACACTTTCACTTTCTATTAAAAATAATTTTTATTCCTACTTTTTCTACTTTACGTATCACATCGTTTTTTTATAAATAACTAATTAATCACATGTTACTTTTACCCATCACATCAAGGACAAAATTAAAACGTCAACCACAAATACACAATCCTTATTTTTTTTTTCAAAAGTCAAAATAGAAACTATTTTATGAAAAGGAGGAGTGGTAGGTACGAAGTATTTCATAAAGTTTACCAGCTTAATGGGAATGTTAGGATCAGAAACCGAAAGGGTAAGATCTTCATTCCATACAGGATTGACATCCTTTTCTATAACACGGGTTTTCAGCTTCTGCGTGAACATACAAAAAAGAACATTTCACAAAAAGCACACCATACAAATATGAGCAAGAGAAATACTAGTCATGTTTGATGGATACTATGGGCTGGGAGGCATGGGTTGAAAACCCATTGGGCATGGAGCCATGAGACGCTAAACTGGGGAGGCTAAACATTGAACAAGACATCAAATAATCTATGGCAGGCTAATTAAAAAAACGTAGTACACGTTTCCATCTATCTCAGTCATTCACAATTTCTTTATTAAAAAAGGGAGCCTAGAGATTACAAATTCAACCTCGGCCCCAAATTAAATAGAAAGGGTCGATGGCGAAAATGAAATCGACATTGTAATCGAAAAAAACACAGAATCAAAGGAGGTAATAGGGCTGGACGGCGCACCTGTTTGCCCATCTTGACAACAACGTAAGGATCGCTGGTCCGGACATCGCGGACGGCGAGGTTGACGCCTCGTTTGATACGGACTTTAAGAACGCCTAACAGGTTGTCCATTGCAATGATGATCTCTTAATTCTCTGCTACCTCATGCACCCCTCACGCGGCCTGTATCTGTAATTCTGTGTGTTACCCCATTCTCATCATTCCCTCTACATACTCTACATGCACGGGGAACCATTTATTGCAAACAAATATGTGTGTGTGTGTCTATATATATATATATATATATATATATATATATATATATATATATATATATATATATATATATATATATATATATATATATATATATATATATATATATATATATATATATATATATATATATATATATATATATATATATATGATTAATTCGAGTCAGAAGATATCTTACGGTGAGATGACATGCTACGGTCAGATGACGCAAAGCTCATCAAAGGCCACTGCAAAGCTCACCAAACTGTAAGGCAAAGCGCACATATTTTTTCAACACTTTGAATTTTTTTTTAAAAAAATCAAATTAAAGGAAGGGGTGCTGACTAGATTTTGACTGTTGACCACCACCTTTGACCGCCGCCTGCCACCAGCCGCCGCCGGCCGCCGATGCTCCGCCGGTTGCCGCCGCGCCGCTGCCAGTCGCCGCCACTGCTCCACCGCCGCTGGTCGCGGCCGGCCACCGCCGCTACTCCGCTTTTCGGACACCGCTGCTGACCACCGGTGTTGCTATTTTATTATTAATTAGTTTTTTAATTTTCAAAATTAAAAAAAGGTGAGTTTTGGTGTTCAAAGTGGCGAGTTTTGCGTTATTTCCAGGTGAGTTTTGCATTGGCCATTGGTGAGCTTTGTAGTGTAATGTGGTGAGCTTGGCGTCATCGCACTGAAGCATGTCATCTCACCGTATTTTTGATTTTATACATAAAGTATTTTTTTAATGTCAAATTGATATATTTGATTATTATTTGATGTAGGGATTCTATTTTGTTTTGTTATGGTGGTTAGAGACATAATATTTGATAACCTCTTTATCACACCTTAATGTATCAAGGAAGCTTCATGTGTCTTTACATTAACTTATGTATTATAAAATCAAATAAAATCCCTCCCCATTTTAAAACATATCAATTTCGGCCATCTCAAGCAAGAGAGAAGAAAAATTTATTTTGTGTTCAAAGTCATTTGTCTAAAGTGTTAGAAGTATACACAAAATACACTACTACAAAAACGACCAAATAAATCGCCCAATTTACATCGGAAAGAAAAACAAACGATGTAAAAGAAAAAAAATTCGCGTATCGCTTAGCTTTAGGATCGGTTGTTTCTAATAACCGATTCAAAAGGTTATTTGAATCGGTTATTAGAAACAACCGATCTAAAAGCTAAAACTCATTTGCATCGGTTATTTCTAATAACCGATTCAAATAACCTTTTGAATCGGTTATTAGAAACAACTGATCCAAAAGCCTTGATAAAATACATCCATCCCATTCTTATCCTTACGCGATTTTGAAAAAAAACCCTCCAAACCCTTTCCGATCGCCGTCGCCGTGCCACTACCGCCTAGCCGTCGCCGTTCCCTTGCCTCCTCGTGACTTGCTCGAGCCTCGACGTCGCCGTGTGCCCATTGCCTCGTCGTCGTCAAATTCCCAGCCTCACCGTCGCCGTGCCCATGCCGCCTCGTGCCCTACTCCACTTCGCCCTCGACCACCTCACCCTTGCCGTCGCCGTGGTTGCTGCCGCCTCGTGCCCTGCTGCCCCGCCTCTCCCTCGGCAACTCCCAGCCACGCCGTCGTGCGTCTTTAAGGTATTTTATTTAATTTTTTTAACATTAAATATTTAATTATACTATTTTTTTTTATACATTTTGGATTAGGTTAATATTTAATTTACTATATATTTGAATTGGTTTTGTGTATATGTTTAAGTTGAAATATGACATTGTGATATAGATTGTGTTTCAAAAATAGATTGTTTAATTACTTTGTGTTTGATTCTACATGTTCTGAGATGTTATAATATAGAAATATTATATATTGACCGACCTAGATACCCATTTAAAATTTACTCATTAGGAGTAAATTTTAAATAGCTCCCAGTTTGCAGCTGTTCTTAAAATGCTTCTCTCACTTAGGTAGTGAATGTATTTCTTTCTCTTTGTTCCGTCATTTTTTGGTTTGACGTTTCCTAAATGTGTTCTTTGGGTGCATATGTAATTATGTTACATCGTGCACTTGGAGAACCATTGGGAAATGCTGCCGAAATTTTGATAGGGCAAAGAAAATGAAATACATTTACTAGTGAGGGTGGCATTTCAAGAATGGGTTAGGATGGTGTAAAGAAGGGCCATTTGTATAATGAAGAAGTGCTGCCTGATTTTTGTTACATCATAAGAAATAAAATATTGTGTTGCCTATATTTCTTATATGTTTGTGTGTATATATATAGAATGAGTGTTAATAATTTTGTTGTGTATTGTTTTGCATGTATCAATCATTTACCCTTCTTTCTTGCTTAGCAATTCATATGATGGATAGAAGTTGGATTCATATGTTGCGTACATCACTTGAGTTTAGTTCTGGTTTGGAAGAGTTTATTCGTTTCGCAGAGAAACATTCAAAAGAAGGAAAAAAGCTATATTGTCCTTGTAACTCATGTCACAACCATTTTATGGTTGATAGCGTTAAAGAAATAAGATTACATGTGTATCGCAAGGGTTTTGACCCAACATACCTGCGATGGAAATGGCATGGAGAATTAGAAAATCCTTGCAGCTCTAGCTATACTCATAATTACCAAGTCGAAGATGATATTCACGACATCCATAATCTTGAGGTTGAAATGGAAGATGAGTTAGGGGCCACTCAAGATGTTCCTCCTGATAAAGTCGTCATTGATGAGGAGCGTAATATGTATGAGAGCTTAGTAGGAAGCTCAAAATGCCCGTTGTATCATAGTTGTACAAAGTTTACACGTTTGAAGGGGGTTTTGGAATTGTTCAATTTAAAAGTAGCAAATGGGTGGAGTGACAAAAGTTTCATGTCTTTATTAAGTTTGTTGGGTGAACTTCTTCCAGATGGACACGAACTGCCATCGTCCACTTATGAGGCGAAGAAAATGATGTCTCCAATGGGTGAGGGCTACAAGAAGATACATGCTTGTGTTAATGATTGCATTTTATATCGAAATGAGTTCGAGGATCTCAACAAGTGTCCCAAGTGTTTTGCTCCAAGATACAAAGAGTCAACCAAAATGACTCATAACAAGGACAATATGAAAAAAACCAAAAAGACTCCGATTAAGGTTTTGTGGTACCTTCCAATAATACCAAGGTTCAAGCGTTTGTTTGCTTCAATAAAAGACGCTAAGAATCTAGTGTGGCACACAGAGCAGGGAAAAGATAATGGCACCCTGCGTCATCCTGCCGATGCCCCACAGTGGAAGACGATTGACTTCACATTTCCAGAGTTTGGGAATGAGGGGAGAAACCTTCGATTGGGATTGTGTACTGACGGAATCAATCCTTTTGGAAGCTTGAGTACGCAACATAGTACTTGGCCGGTACTCCTTGTCATTTACAATCTTCCTCCAGAGTTGTGCATGAAGCGCAAGTACATCATGCTATCGTTGTTAATACCTGGGCCTAAACAACCTGGTAATGACATTGATGTATTCTTAGCCCCAATGATTGACGACTTGAAGGAAATGTGGATTCATGGTGTCAAAGTATTTGATGCTTATCGTCAAGAGTGTTTCACGTTACGTGCTATGATTCTTTGGACAATCAATGACTACCCAGCATACGGTAACCTATCTGGTTATAAGATTAAGGGAAAATATGCATGTTTGATATGTGAGGATAATACTTCTAGTGTGTGGCTAAAGAATGAAAAAAAACAGTCTTTCTAGGTCATCGCCGATTTTTAAGACGTCAACACCCTTACCGTCGCATGAGAAAAGCTTTCAATGGTCAAGCAGAAAATGAGGTTGCTCCAAAATTATTGAGTGGCAAAGCATTGCATGAAAAGTTGAAGAACATAAACCATACATTTGGCAAGACACAGAAAGCTGATCCAAACGGTCCTATTTGGAAGAAAAGATCAATATTTTGGGAACTACCTTATTGGGAGTACTTATCTGTCAGACATTGTCTTGATGTGATGCATATAGAAAAAAATGTATGTGATAGTCTTATTGGCACCCTCCTAAATGTTCCTGACAAGACTAAAGATGGTGTTAATGCACTACAAGAAAATGCCAAAACAACGACGGATTGCAGCGACAGAATTTAGTTCGACGCTAACAGCGACGGATTTAGCGACGGAAGAGTACTCCAACCAAAACTAACGACGAAAAAAAAGGTCCGTCGCTCTGTATTGGCGGGAGGTTGTGCGCGGCATTTTTGACGATGGAATTACTGACGGAATTTTCCGTCGTTTGTTTTAGCGACGGAATATTTCCGTCGCTGATGGAAATTTATTAAAACGCTGCGTTTTGGCTTGGCGACGGAATATATTCGTCGCTACTTTCCGTCGCTTCAAAAACAGATCTATACCCTCTTCCTTAGTCAGTTTCACCGATTTGCAGACAGAAATCGATGTCTCCACGTGGAGTCTAAGGTCTGTTGTCCAAATCGTCGTCGAACCTCCGCCGCCGCGCCGTCCGCTCGTCGTCTCCGCCCGCCACCATCAACCGCTGGTCCTCCTTGTCGTCCGGTCATCGTCGGGTCTTCATCCCAGGTTTTTTTTCAATTTTTCATCTGAATAAGTTTAAGATAAACACTTAATTAAAAAAATAATATTAACATAACAAATGTAATCCCAAAAATTTTATAGTATAAAACAAATATTAATGTTTAAATCAAAATTAAAATATTAATAAAATCCAATCCCAAACAATAAGTTTTAAATCAGTAAACAAAATTGTTTAAATTAATATATCCTTAAACTTTTAGTGAATCGATATTGTGCTTATTAATTGTTTAATATTTTATTTTATATATTGTAAGTTTTATAGGAGGAATGAATTTATGCTTATTAGTTGTTATATTTTACATATTGTTAATGTTACATGATGATTGATGTATTGTGTATTGTGTATTGTGTATGTTACGTTGTTGAATATTGTAGTTGTTCCGATCCATTTATATTATATTTTTTATATTATATTTTTAATTTTATTTGTAATGAATTCTATAACTTAATAGTATGTTAATTTTAATTGTTTGTTTGAATTTCTCAGAATGAGTGACTTTCACAAAAATCGAGATTGGATGTATAAAAGACTTGATAGCTCAGGTTTTATAAATACAGACTAGGTTGACAAAGTTAGACAATTCATTGAGTTTTGTGAGTCAAATCCAAAAGTAGACAGATTCAACAGGCAGATGCGTTGTCCTTGTAAGATTTGTAAGAATAAATATTTTAAAGATATCGAGGACATTAAGCTTCATGTACTGAGACAAGGTTTCACTCCTAAATATCTTGATTGGGTTTGCAACGGGGAGGAACATGGTGACTATACGAGCCATCATCAGCGCCGTAAATCTGCTCGTACCTTTGTTGAAACCGAAATGGCAGAATACATGAATATGGTGATTGATGCTGCGGGGCCTTCCTTTAATCCTTACGTTCCAGTTGAGGAGGAACCAAATGCTAGTGAAAAAAAATTTGACATGCTAAAAGCCGCTGATACCGACTTATGGAAAGGTTGCACTAAAATGTCCCAACTCTCGATGGTTGCAAGATTACTCAATATTAAGGCAGAGCACAATTTGTCTGAGAGGTGTTATGACACTATTTGCCAACTGTTTAAAGATGGACTTCCGAAGGACAATTCAATGGTTTCTGATTTTTATGAGACAAAAAAACTCATTGAAGGTTTAGGACTACCAGTGGAGAAAATTCACTGTTGTGTCCAAGGTTGCATGCTTTTTTGGGCCAGATGCTGAGCTAACTGCATGTAAAACTTGTGAAAAGCCTCGTTACAAAGACTCTATAAAAAAGATACCAAATAGATACATGTTCTATTTTCCCCTAATGCCGAGGTTTAAGAGATTGTACATGTCAAAAAGAACAGCGAAGTCCATGCGTTGGCATGCAGAGCACAGTCACGATAGTGATGGAGATATGTGCCATCCTTGCGATTTGAGGCCTGGAAGCAATTCAACCTTTCTAATCCAACATTTGCTTCTGAAGTTCAAAATGTAAGGTTGGGTCTCTGCACAGATGGTTTTCAACCTTTCGGGCAATCGGGTTCTCAATACTCTTGTTGGCCAATAATGGTCACTCCTTACAATCTCCCGGATGTGTCGTTGAGTCAAAACTTTACGATGCGTGCTGCACTATTATGGACTATTGGAGACTTTCCGGCGTTGGGAATGATGTCTGGTTGGAGCACTGCTGGGAAAACAGCATGTCCGGTGTGTATGGACGAACTACAATCATTTCGACTTCCAAATGGTGGCAAACAATCCTTGTTTGATACACACCGTAGATTTTTGCCAGATGACCATCCCTATAGGAGAGATAAGAAAAAATTTATGAAGAATAAGATTGAGACTCATCCTCCTCCTACTTTAAAAACTGGTGCACAAATATTAGAGGAGATTGAGAGGCTCGGATTGAGAAGGATTGTGGAACCTGGGGCAGAAGAGACAAACAAAGATGTTTGTAAACACCATCTTTGTGGTTGGAGAAAGAAGAGCGTATTTTGGGATCTTTCGTACTGGAAGACAAATCTTGTACGACATAATCTTGATGTTATGCACATAGAAAAAAATGTGTTCGAAAATATTTTTAATACTGTGATGGATGTCCAAGGTAAAACAAAAGACAATGCCAAAGCTAGGGAGGATACGAAGTTATTTTGCAACAGGAAATAGTTGGAAAGAGATTGTGCATCAGGAAAATATCCTCAGGCAGCATACACTCTTGACAAAGCTTCACGAAAGGCTTTTTTAGATTGGGTAAAGGGGTTGCGATTTCCTGATGGATATGTCTCAAATTTGGGACGATGTGTTGATCCAACAAAACTAAGAATGTTTGGGATTAAAAGTCATGATTGCCATGTTTTCATGCAACGCCTAATTCCCATAGGATTCCGAAATTTATTGCCCAAGGGTGTATGGGAGGTTTTAACTGAGCTCAGCAACTTCTTTCGTTCTCTTACTGCTAAAAGTATTTCGGTCGATGACATGCAGACGCTAGAGAATAACATAGTTGTCATACTACGTAAGCTAGAGACAATATTTCCCCTTGCATTTTTTGCCAGCATGGAACACTTTCCGGTTCACCTACCTTGGGAGGCTAGAGTTGCTGGTCTAGTTCAGTTTCGATGGATGTATCCTTTTGAGAGGTACAAACTGAACAAAAAATTATGTGTCAAATAATATATGTTAAATGCATAATTAATCCACGTATTCGCTTGTGTTATGCAGATACCTAAATCGTTTGAAGTGAATGGTAAAAAACAAAGCAAGGGTAGAAGGATCTATTGCTAATGCATATATTGTGAGAGAAGCATCTCATTTTTGTTTGCATTACTTTGAAGATCATGTTTACACTCGACTACACAGTGTACCGCGTAATGATGAAGGAGATGTTCCTGCAGCCATCGAAAGTAACCTAAGCATTTTCCAAAGCGCAGGACGCCTAAGCGGTAAGACGAAAAAGCGAAGACTTTCTGATGATGAGTTAAAGGCGCTGCATCATTACCTTATGCTAAATAGTGTCGAGATTGAACCATTCATTGAGTATGTCTCTAATTTTATCTATTTCTAGTAAACCATTCCGCGAGTGTACACTTAAGGCATATGATGTTGTTCATTGCAGGAAATATGTCGATTCATTACGTGACTCAAATCTTGACATTACTGATGAGGCTTTACTTCTGCAAATGGAAGAAAGTTTTGCATCATGGTTTGAAAAACATGTATATATATCATACCCTTAATTTAGTTAACAACTCAATTCAGTCCTTTACTTATAATAATGAGACACCTCAAGTTATTCATCATTTGTACTACTTTCAGGCTTGGGAAATTGTTGATACACTGCAAGTTATTCGTGATGTATCAAGGGGACCTCTACCCGTCGTCAGCACATACCCAATTTGTTATGTCAATGGTTATCGCTTTCACACTGAGACTCACAGTGCCAAACGTGCCACGTTTAACAGCGGCGTGTCTATTGTTGGAGAGCATTGTTCTTACTATGGTCGTGTAGAAGAAATTATCGAGGTTGAGTATCCTGCTTTACGTTATTTCGCAACACAACATAAGTTTACGTTCACCATACTAGGTGCTGGGTCTCAACCTTGATCTCACGTGCTGTTTATACTGAACCAACTCCAAAATTTTTCACCCTATAAGGCGTTTATACAACCATTCATCCTTGCAACACAAGCTAAGCAGGTGGCCTACGTAGAGTATCCTAGAGTAGCTAGTAGGGCAAAAGGTGAATGGTTAGTTGTTTGTGATGTAAAACCACGTGGCTGGGTTGAAACCACATCTGATACACAAAAGCTCAAGAGTACTGACGATTTTGAGTACCAAGAAGATGCAAGAGTGGCAGTCGAAATTGTTGAAGTTGAACCGCACGAGGAAGCTCCACTACTTGCAGAATTTCCACAATTAATTGATCTCGATGATAGTGAGGACGAAGAAAGTGATGATGTTGAGATTCAATTGAATGTGAATTCATAGTGCTCATTTTATTTTGCTTTTTATGTTACAAAGTGTATATACATGTATGTTTTGTGTATTGCAGCAAAACTACGTAGCCATGCAGGAGGCAGTTCGTGAAGAAGGCTTAAATGTGACACCTGACAAGATTTTTCTATCTACATTCGGAGGACATGATGTCAAGAATTGTGTTCATGGTGTTGGAGATCTCGCACGGAGCCTACCACGAATGCATGCAAGTGAGGCAAGACGTGCTAGCACCAGCTCTATGTGGGACCCTCGAGATGATGAGATCCGGAGGTTGAGAGAAGAGCTAGATGAAATTAGAACTTCCCAAGCGCGTGAATTGTTGTCGATTAGAGAAGAGATGACCCGACTTTATGGAGGAGTTTTCCCACGTGGAAATGGAGATGGCGGTGGAGATGGAGGAGGGGCGGGGTTTGCAGGGGCTTGTTGAGTGTTTTATTAGAATTGAAGAACAATTTATTAAACTTAAGTTTTATGGTTACGTAAGTGGAGTTAGATTTGATTGTTATGTTGAACTTTTATAAATATTATTTAAAATTTAGTTGTACATTGGTGACTTGAATATTCTTGGCTGTTTGGTAATCTTCATTTCCAGTAATTGTTGTTGTTTGATGCTGGGATTTCTGAGCTTTGCTATTTATGTGTGCAAAATTGAAAAACAGCAGCTTCCTGGTTGTAACCTGTCAAATTGGCGACGGAATTGGCGACGGAATCGCATTTCCGTTGCTATATCGTCAAAATGCATATTTCGTCGCTATTTCCGTCGTTAGGTCTAGCGACGGATATTTTCCGTCGTGAGTTCCGTCTCTTCTTTCCGCCACCACTTCCGTCGTAGACTAGCGACGGAATGAAAAATCCATCGTCACATTTACTACTAACGAAAAATTAACGACGGAATAGATTCCATCGTTATTTCCGTCGTTACGAAGATTACCTACGAAATAAGGCTTTGGCGACGGAATTATTCCATCGCCAATTGAACAGTTTTTTGTAGTGATTCCAGAAAAGACTTAATAGACATGGGCATTCGAACTGAGCTTGGATCGCAAGAAAAAGGACATCGCACATTTCTCCCTCCTGCTTGCTACACACTTTCTAGAGAAGAAAAAATCACTCTTTGTCAATGTCTACGTGATATAAAGGTTCCACAAGGGTATGGCGGAAACATTAAGAGTCGTGTGTCGATGAAGGATTTGAAATTGAACGGTCTTAAATCTCACGATTGCCATGTTTTAATTCAGCATTTCTTGCCAGTGGCAATTAGATCAATATCGCCAACGAATGTGAGGGGGGCAATAACTAGACTTTGTTATTTTTTTAACGCCATTTGTAGTAAGGTCATTGATGCTGAAATGTTGGATCAATTACAAGAGGAAGTGGTAGTCACCTTATGTGAATTTGAGATGTTCTTTCCTCCATCATTTTTTGATATCATGGTCCATTTAGTTGTGCATTTGGTGAGCGAAGTTAAACTTTGTGGCCTTGTTTTTCTTCGGTACATGTATCGATTAGAGAGATTTATGGGTATTTTGAAAAGATATGTGAGGGACCGGTATAGACCTGAGGGCAGTATTGTTGAAGGATACTTGGCAAAGAGATTATTGAATTCTGTAGTGAGTATTTGGATTTGGAGTGCACGGTTGGGGTACCGAAGTCTCGACATGAATGTAGAACTGAGGGGAAAGGAACAATAGGACATCACATCATCCATCTTGACTCTGAAATGTTCAGTTTAGCACAACTCTATATTTTACAACAAACAGATGATGTTCGTCCGTATTTAGAGAAACACATGTCTCTTTTAAGACAACAGAACCCCGGGAAAACTAAGAGGTGGTTGACCAATGAGCACAATCGTATATTTCTTAAATGGTTTCAAGAGCATGTTCGCTGGAAAACAATACATTCTCCTCATAATGTCAAAGAAAATGTGCGATCATTAGCTACAGGACCTTCGGTAAATGTATCTTCTTACGAGGGGTACTACATCAATGGCTATTATTTTTACACAAAACGTCAGGATGAGAAGAGTACAGTACAGAATAGCGGTGTGTCATTGAATGCTTCTTCTCTACACATTCCTAGGGTTAAAGATTCGAAACCGATCCGATCATACAAAACATACTATGGCGTGATCGAGGATATATGGGAACTCGAATAAACAACTTTCACCATTCCTGTTTTCCGGTGTAAATGGGTGGATATCAACAAGGGGATTAAATCAGATGACATGGGGTTTAAATTAGTGAATTTTCGAAAGTTGGGTCATCATGAGGAACCGATTATAATGGCCTCTCAAGCGACGAAAATCTATTACATTGTTGATCCTAACGATAAAAATTGGTCTGTTGTTCGACAAGGGAAGAGGGCATCATTTGAGTTGGACGACGGTTTATACGACAAAGCAACTCATATTTTAATGATTTCGCCAAACTCACAAGTTGATGATATAAGAGCAAAATACATTCGCGAAGATCACGAAGAAGGATTATGGATAGATGGGGGAAAGAAAAAGTTAAAATAATGCTTTAGGTATTTTTTTCTGTTTATATTGATCATTTTCATTTAATTCATTGTTGTTTCACTTTTATTATACTTATGTTGTCTAAATTATTTTGAATTTGTGCAGGTATGGCGGACCAACGGAAGAAGAAAAAGGTTATAGGTGCAGGGAAGTGCGAGAAGCTTTATAAGAGGAGGAGGGAGGGTCACTCGCCTATAGAGCTTGAGTGGGAGCATGGGGAGCCTATACGTGGACCGTATGTTTCGGAGTTTTCTGGGCTTGTAGGGTTTGAGGTCCGATCGAGAGTGCCGATTACTTATAGTAATTGGCATGATGTCCCGCAAGACCTGAGGGCCACGGTACTAGACGGGGTTCGGGTAGGTACTACTTATTTATCTAAATCTGCTATCTTTAATTGTTACATGGTTCTATATATAATAGGTTGTTGCTTCATTTTCTTGTAGGATATATATGTGATACCTCCCAGTGGGGCCGGACATGTTATGACAGTTGCCACAGCGAGACTTTGCGCTTTCTAGACTTTTTTACGAAAAGCCTTTTTGACGAAATGTGGGGATCATTACGGCAAGTATCCCCGTGATCATTATACCTTCGTAGAGCGAGAGCATTGGGAGGAGTTTCTGATCCAGATGGGGACTCCGGAAACTAAGGTAAACCATAATTACCTTCATTGAATGAAATTATTAACTAACATATTAATTTATTTTAAACAATTGTTTTAGGCTTTGAGCGAGAAGAATAGGGATATACAGAAGAAGAATTCCTATCCGCACTATATGGGCCGAGGTGGATATGCCATGCTTCAGTGTGAGTTTGCTGTTGCTTCTCAGGCCGCCACTTCTGCTGATATCGCTGGTTCGTCTACCTTGACGAGTTCTCAGCTCGGACGGGAGGACTCTTGGTTGCGAGGTTACACCCCGGGGAGGCAGGCAGAAGTTATGGACCCTGCAGTGATGGAGATTCGTGATAGGATAGTAAGCATATAATCTACAATTACGTCAATATATTTGTTTATTACTTGTTTATTATTTGCTTACAATTTCTTTACTTCTTTTCTTTCTTAACTGTAGGTTCAGCTGAAGAAAGAGGTCGCAGCCGGTACCTTTGTGTCAGATGGGCACAATGATGTACTGACTAGAGCTTTAGGGACTGCCGAGCACCCAGGATGCACGAGGGGTGTTGGGTCATATTCGGGCTTACGTAAAGTTTTCAAAGGCAACATGAAGCCTCGTAAGCCCGAAGGTAACTATATGACTTAGGAGGATCTTTTGCAGCGTCTTCCTTCCCTTCTGCAGCAGTATGGACTATCTGTGTCCGGGAGTTCTCTAGAAGGGGCATACATGTCGCAGCACACACCGTCTGTACCACCTCATTATGGGCAGCGTAGTAGCAAGGCGTCTACAGATTTTGTTGACGTCGCCGGTGTCACTAAGGTACATATATTTTGTAATTAAGGTTTCAAGTTTAGTTTACGTTTACTTTTTTCCGACTTTAGTTTACTAATTGTGTTTTGTAGGTTTCTCCTTGTTACTTGAGGATCTCTGATCCAGCGGATTACATAGTGGCACATCGATCGGTTTTCCCACGTGCACCGGGAGATATGGTGCACGGTGTTCCCCTCCTTCCCCACCAGGTTAAGGTCTCTGTGACCCTTGTGCTTCCTGGAATGGGTGAATATACCATTCCTTGTCCGACGGAGCATATGGAGACCGTAGCCGATTGCGAGGGGAGCTTCGTTGCATGGCCAAAGTCATTGGTGGGCGTAGAAGATGTAAGAAGCAAATAAATTTAGTTCTTTTTTATTCAACATCATTTGCGCTGCGTTTCATATATCATTGTTTGAAAATATTCGTAGCCCCTAGTGCAGACGGCTCGACATGACGACTTCTCATCAAGCAAATCTCGTCCCATTCTCAGCGTACGTCCCACTGCTCCTAGCTCTGCCGTACAGGATGTTGTTGACCGGAGCTCATACGTCGCATTCGGGCTGAGGTGCAGAGAGTTGTGTCAGTGGCTGACACGCACATCTGCTTTACCTACCATCAGCGTTATTCTAAATCCTGAGTCCATGCTCTATCCGGAGGAGACGGAGCTGAGGATGCGTCCGGAGAATATACGTGAGTTCATGCGACGGGAGGAGGTCGATCAGACCATCATCATTATTTTCTTTAAGTATGTCAAGCACTATGTACGAATAAATTACAATTGTAATTATAATTATTTCTTATAATTGTAATTCTTGTTTACATGTGAAATTACTAGATTATTGCACGATCATATGATGGAGCGGGGCATTGCGTTTGTCGGGTTGTTATGTCCGGAGAACATAGCATACGTGGTGGAATATGGAGATCGCCAGTATCTGGATAGAGCACTCGAGACCTATCAATCGTGACCCTGGATACTTATGTCGTTGTATCTATCGACACCGTATGCTTTCTAAATCATTTCCAATATGTATTTTGGTTTTTTATTTTAAGTTTGTGACTAACGCTTTTTCAATTGTAGGGGACATTGGGTGTTAGTTGTAATATGTTTGTTTGAAAACAAAGTGTATTTTCTAAACTCAATCAAGTCGACTGGAGGGCATAAGAAAATGAAGGTGAAGACTTTCGTCAACGAGTGAGTATTAAGAAATTTATTTCTTATTAATGAAATTTTTTATTTGTTAAGATATTAATTTCTTATTAATTTGTTTTTTACATATATTAAAGGTCTTGGCGGTTACTTCGGGAACGACATATGCCTCAGCTTAAGGCTCGACCAGATTGGGTTGATGTTCCCGGAGTACCCCAACAAGAAGGGAACGTTGAGTGTGGTTATTATACAATGCGATTTTGTTGGCTCATCGTCAATATGTGTGCACAATGTTCAGTACCGTTATCCGAGGTAAGTTTGTTTTAGTGTTTTTGAAAGTAATGAAGTGTAGGGTAATGATTATTAAACTTTATGTCGTATGTTGTTTTCGTATTATTGCAGGTATTTCAGTCTACTATGCATTATACTAGAGCTGAGTTAGAGAAGATTAGAGAGTTTTGGGCAGGGAGTTTTCTCGATGAACTTGTGTAAGTCCCATTTGTGTTGTATAGCATAATTAAATGTAAGTTAGTAGAGTACAATGTAGTTGTTTGGCTTTTAGTTGTGTTGTTAAAACTTAGAAGAATACGTAGTAGTTTTACTCTTATATTTTTTAACATGTACAAGTGGCGTGGATGTAAATGTTTACTTTTTTGATTTAATTTGTTTTGTGGCATTTGAGTTTTGTGAATGTATTTGTGTTAGTTACTTTTGTGTTGATGGGTTGAATTTTCTGCAAAGTTGAAACAGAGTGGATCGGGAACAAACAAAATAGGCCTTTGAAAATATTATATACTTTTGAATCGGTTATTTTGTAATAACCGATTCAAAAGATACTCATTTAAATCGGTTATTACTAAATAACCGATCCAAAAGACTCTTCCAAGAAATGGCGCCATTTTTGGGTAGAAGCATTTGAATCGGTTATTTTCTAATAACCAATCCAAATGCATATCTTTTGAATCGGTTATTACCAAATAACCGATTCAAATGCTTCTTAACAAAAATGGCGCCATTTTCTGTGAAGGGCTTTTGCATCGGTTTTAACAACCGATGCAAAAAGTGACCTGAGTATTTGCATCGCTTGCTTTTGCATCGGTTCAAAACCGATTTAAAAGGGTCCAAATAACCAATTTAAAAGGTCATTTTTGTAGTAGTGATATTATAAGAAATATTTATAAGATAAATATATTTACTATATATTTATTACTCCCTAAAGTAGTAATATCATAGTTTTACTACCCTATATTAAACTTGCAAGCACAAGTTTAGTCTAGGACTCCAGAACAAGTTCGTGTGGATACGTTGGAGGATTCATACGTTTGGCTCTACGTTCATCTCCTCAAAACCGTCCCCGACCATTAAAGTAACTTTCTTATTATAGCTAGTAATATACGTAATTTACTATAACTTTCTTACTCAGCCTCTGTTGTCGAATCGGCGGTTGTGTCTTCCTTGAACCTTAATAATCGTAGTTTTTCGGGTAGTAAACCTTCCTAGTAAAGGGTTAGTTTTCTCTCTGAGTGTCGGGTCTCTCGAGGAGTGGACGAAGGGAATTAGTTAATTTCTCTAATTAGGAAATGGTTAGGATAGGTTTATGAAAGTCTTCTCGAAACAATATTAAAAGAGAGAAATAATAAAAGTAAATTTTTTCACATAGTATAAGCGAGGTCTAGACCTTGGATCAAGACATCATTTGGATCTACTTTGTCATATTTAATTAATAATTGGAATATTAATATTTCTATTATTACATACCTATTTCTAGGTCTTGTACTTAATTTGTTGCCTTGAATATGATAGCCTTTCGACATATAATATATCCTCAATAAATTGATAATTAAATTTTTTGATATTAATAAACTAATTAAATATAGCAAGAACAATAGACTAACCATTCCAACATTAACTAAACATTCAAAGTATACAACCAAATTAGTCAGGACCTAGAGGTCCGGACCCTAACTCATACTATGAAAAATAATTTAAATAACATTAAATTAAATTGGATTAAATTACAACCTCCGTAAAAGCGAAACAGAACAGATCCAGTGTTGAATTCTCTGAAAATAATTTAAAACTAACTACTACAACTATACTACAAGCTAAAATGAATAATAGAAGGTTAAAAACCCGAGAATGTGTTGGAATGAGATTATGGAAATTGAGGAATCGCGCAATTAATATAGGGGGCGGAGCCAAGGCGTCCAACTCCAAGCGTCCAAGTCCAAGCGTCCAGATCTGGATGCCATAGCTATTCCGGCCAATCAGCTTTTGCCACGTGTCATTCTTGGGCTGCAATTCAGCTGAAGTGTCCAACTTGGCCAAGCGTCCGAGTCGGACGCCTCAGGCCATTCTCTTGTTGCGCTTCGCAACTGGTTCGTGATATTGGCCTAATTTCACTTCTTTTTGGCCCCGAACACTGTTTTTGACATTGCGGAAGCTCGTTGAAGCCCGAATCTTGATCCTTTGATGATTCATTCCCTTTTTCTCAAGTATTTGAACATAAAATAGATGATTTATCATGATTTCATGTGGAATCCCTTTTTATGACTCTTAGAACAAAAATGAGAGCTTTATTCATTGAAAATACATTTTATGAGATGAATAAGTACTATTTACGTGTAATAACATTCAGAATATGATGTAAATGATAAGAACAAAACGGGCTTATAAAATTCCTCACACTTAAACGTTGCTAGCCCTCAAGCAAAAATTAAATAATTACAAGTATGGAAGCAAGTTAGTAATCACAGAGGAAAAGTTTTAGCTACACGTTGTGAAGGAAAGAAGAAATAAGATAGTCATCAACCTTTTGTTAGGAAGAAATGAACCTTTGAATTTTCACCCATATTCTTAGAAATGTAAAAGTATTTTATCAAACGAATATTTTTATATCAACCTAAACACCCGTGTACACGTTTTTACCCGAACAGCCATTGGACCCAGCAGGTACCACATGGCTCTAACTTACTATATTTCTGGCATACCTTGCCACTCACTAATCCATTCAGGTCATTTCCTAGAGTTGTTCTAGGTAATATATCCAACAATCATTAGTCAATACATAATACCAGATTCATAAATCCACAATGCATTTCAACGAGATATCTAACATAATCAAATAGCGGCCTAACACTTGGTGTAAACACACATGTTTACCGTCATGCAACACACGGAGTCTCGGAATCAATCCATGACACAAACACAGATCGGAAGACCCGACATGAGTTACCAGATGGTACCTATCACGGTACGGGGTACCGTCCTCACGGTACCTGGGTACCGGTCCTACAGTACCGAGGGTACCGACCGAACCATCTGGGCTCTTCCGGTAGGACTGTCACGGTAACCGACTACTAACTGGGCGGTAGGGCCTACTGTCTGTCCGGTACCTAGGTACCGAACGATCACAACTACCGGCAGAGAGAATGTAAACATACAGAGTGTGATGGTAGCACGGTATCGTCCCGGCAGTACCGCCTACCGTTTAACACAATAATTTCTCAGCTTCTTACCTGTTTTGCTTTCAGCATCAGACCAACAGCAATCTCATAATCAACAAGAACCAATCGGTTCATATTAACATTCTAAACATTATCAAACACATTAATTCATCAATCAACACCTAAATCATGCATACTACCCTTTTGGTTCAATGACAAGAATTCCCGAAACCATAACTAACAATTACACAGATAAAGGAGCCACATCCACATCGTAAGTGCAAGCCACATCGTAAAGGAGCACTTTGGGGGAATAGTTGAATGCCAGATAAAGGACATCCAAGGCTTGGGATTAGCCTTAACCCTAAACAAATCATAAACCTTACTCGGAACAAGGTTCCCTCCCATACAAAGAGTTTGCATAGCCACTTCCATAGAGGGAATATGATCACCAAGCTTTTGGATCAAAAGCCTGCGCACATAGGCTAACCTTTTGAAGAAGACAGTATGCCTCTTATTAGTCAGCTTCTTAATCCTATTTGTGGTAGATGTTGTGTTTTAGTTAGACTTCATTCTTTATTCCTAGTTGTGTTAGGAGTCTCTCCTATATATACTCTATTATGTACTTCATAATTCAATGAGCAATATTATTATTCCAATATTTCAACATGGTATCAGAGTCACCGCTCTTGGTGACCTAAAAAAAGTTCTTTGCTCCCACCGCCGCCGCCGGTAATTCCGGCGACGGCGGCTCCACCCTATTCACCTCTATTTTCTTTTTCTTCTTTATCCTCAAATCAACTTCTCCATTCAAATGAAAAAAAGAAAAAAAAAACCTTGTTGAAATCACACAAAAAAAACTATCAGAGGAGGAACTTCTCTCTTGTCATCTCCATGGTTCTTCAAAAAAAACCCAACTCCTCACAAACTCTCTCAGATCATCCTATCTTCTCAAAAAAAGAAAAAAAAATGATTGTTGTTTCTCTCCAACTCACCATATCAAAATCTCAGACCCAATTTTTTTTTTCCATCTCCAATTCTTGACCTAATTTTTCTCTCTAAAATCACTCATTCTAATCATCAACCTCCCTTCTCTTTCTCTTCTGTTGAACCAATAAAAATCCAAAGTAAATCAGCACAAAAGCAAAGCCAAGAGAGGAAGTAGTGAAAGAGGAAATAAGATCTCTACAACTCACCCCTTCAAAAAGGAAATAGGGCATTGCCCGGATCCAAGAAAAAGACAAAAAATGTCAAGGATCTTCAGTCAAACAGGCACCTCCAGTAGCCTTCTCTATTCTTCTTCGACGTCAGCAGCTACAAGCACACGCCAACCTTCTCTCTTCTTCATCGACGTCAGCACCTACTAGCGCACGTCAATTTCTCTCTTCTCCAACGACGTTAGTAGCTACCAGTGCACGTCAGACTTCTCTCTTCTCCAACGACCTCAGCAGCCACCGACGCACGTCAGACTTCTCTCTTCTCCAAGGACGTTAACAGCCACCGGCGCGCGTCACACTTCTCTCTTCTCCAACGACGTGAGCAGCCACCGGCGCATGTCAGACTTCTCTCTTCTCAAAGTTTCATGTTTCCAGCTAGTGTCCAAGCTTCCTTTTGCTTCAGCCAGAGTTCAACTTGAAGGGGAATGTTAGACAATAATACTAATAGTATTTCTTGTAGTATTGGTTATGGTAGTGTTTCATTATTAGTCGGCTTCTTAATCCTATTTGTGGTAGATGTTGTATTTTAGTTAGACTTCATTCTTTATTCCTAGTTGTGTTAGGAGTCTCTCTTATATATACTCTATCATGTACTTCATAATTCAATGAGCAATATTATTATTCCAATATTTCAACAAATTCGAACTCAATTCTAAAATAAATTGTACTCAATAAATTTAATCAAACATCGTAAACTAACATAACATTTAAATTGAGACGGAGGGAGTAATTTTTATTAGTGGGAGAATAATTTACCGCTAATTACACTCTAAAATCAATCAAGTATGAAAACAAGTGGTATGTTAAAATGCTATTGAAATTAAACAAAAAATGAAATTAATATGAAAATGTAAGTGTAGTTCATTGCCCTTTGTTTAAAAATGAAAAAGATTGATATCAAATTCGGCGGACTAATATCCAGTTTCTAGAGCGTAATAAATATGGAAACCAACAGATACCCATCGCTATTTTGTAAAGAAATATAGAAATTGAAAAATATTTCCCTTGTTTTTAGAGCGTAAAAAAGAAGGAATAAAAAGAAGTAAAGAAACCGATGTACCAATATGCCACTAAGTAAAAAAGAAAATAAATAGAAAACTATCAAATCATGTAGCATGTGAATAAAAATGATCAAAACAGAAAACTTACCACATCATAAAATAAGAGTCCATGTGACAGGTGATTAAGCAATTGTTGTAGCAAGCGAAATAATATACGGAGTAAATAAAAAATGTGAATTGCTAGTGATAATGGCATTTATCGAATTTGAAAGTATTTGCTTAAAATAGAGAATTGGTTAGAGTAATCACATAATTTTTTCTTTCAATTTTCGTAAAAAATTCGACTCATTTGTGAAAAGTAAAGTAGGAAAAAGGAATGATAAGAATTTTCGATTTTCATAGATACATTGGAATTCAAAAAATAAAAAGAGAAGGATAAGAAGGAAAGTACATGCAAATGACAATTTTGCAATAAGATCATTAACATTATTATATTTATAATAATTTGTTATTTGATAAAACTTAATACAATTAAACGGTAAAGAGATTATTAATTACGTACTAAGCAAGCATGGTATGGATGTTTTTTTAATTTGGTTTCTTTTAAATACACACAATTTCCTAGCATGAATATTGCCTGCACAACTTTTACTCAATTAAATTTCATTTCTAACCACAAAATCTTAACCCAGTAGGCTATTTTCAGTTTTTTTTGTAAAAAAGGCTCAATGTTAGAAAGAATTGTAAAAACTTAAAAAAAAAGTTGAAAGAAACTAAAAAGAATTAGAAAATATTAAAAAAATAAATATTAAAACATCACTCAGTTAAACTATCATCCAAATAAATATGTAAGAAAACTAACTTTGGATATAAACAAAATTCATCTTTATCCATGTAGGAAATGATATATTATAAATTTAGATATGTAATATTATTGTATATTCATCATATATAAATACTTTTCTTTAATCGTCGTTAGAAGAAATTAGGCAAAATTGAAAAGAGTTCTAAAAATTTAGAAATTAACTTTTTCAACCTAAATGAAGAGTCTACGGGTGGGCGGTTACATGGATCAATCGATGCAAGCTATTTTATTAATTCTTGTTTTTTCTATTCAACTAAAACGTTCATTTGATATCCTATTGAATAACACCCATGCATCATCTAAAAGAAAAGTCGAGCATCACTCCAAAGTGTACCAGACAAGTTTCCGACATTGTACGAGTGGCATGACAATTTAAGATCACTGGAATGTGAATGGAAAAATTAAAAAAAAATAGTTAATGAGATAATTAATCTCTGGTCAGCACTTGTGTATGTTAAGCAACAAGGCAACTAAAAACCACCCCACACAATCCTACTTGGGGTCGACATCAGCATGCTCCAAAAATACCTCTATCCTCAAATCAAAACATGGACAATCACAGGACACAAACTCGTGTGTGTGATTATGGTTGTGTTTTGTAACTCTGTCACGTCTGCAATGTGAACCATTATTACGACGACACCTGGCACAGAATGAGATGAGTCTGTTACTAATCGAATCTCACGAAATTAGTCATATTGTTTAACTCCATTAGATAAATGGTCAAAACTTCAAATGCACTTCAATGTAATATAGCAGAGTAAGTCCCGGGGGAATAAAAAATACGTGAATGAGACCACGAGAATGTTTATGCACTTTCGCCTACGGTGGGAAGAGCAGTGACTTTGCCCATAGCAACAGTTTTCCCTGCAAAAAAAGGTGAAGAAGCCATGATGCATGTTCCATAGACAGTGTTATTATGTACACATGTTATAATGAATAGAAAATGGTGTTCCAAACCCTCTGTTCGAAGAGTGAATCTTCCAAGCTGTTGGAAATCAGAGAATTTCTCAATGCAAATCATATTATTCACCTGGGAAAAGGTACAAAAAAGCAAAAAATTAACACTGTACTGTATAACCGAATCATAACCTCAAACCCTTGCAAAAGCATTAACAATTTACAACAGGAAAATAAAAGCAAGAGGGGCTGAAATTTAAGAAAACTGCTTTACCAAAATCAGATTGGCATTACCAATCAATAAATCTTCAATAATACATCACCAAGAAATTATATTAAGCTACTTCACATTCACAAAAGTATAGCATGCACGCACTATATAAAGAGAGAGCAGAACTAAAACAATTAAGAAGCCAACCTGAATGCGACACACAACAAAAGCACCGTTCTTAACAAAGAGTGGTTTCTTTTTCTTGGGCTTCTTTGTTTTTGGATCAATTTCTTGCATCAAATCTACAATTTCACACTCCTCAACAACCGAGTGAATATGCAACACAGCCTTGTAACCAGCAGTAAAAATTGCCTGGAAACCAAAACAGAGCAAACATATATACGCAATTAACCAAATTCGATATGAGCGAATAAGAGAACCATAATTCTAAGGAAATATTCAATTCTTACATTATCCAATAACTCCAGGATTGACAGCTGCGCAATAAACTCAGTAACAGCAGGGACTGGCTTAACTGCACCGAGGGGAAACACATCAATATTTTCACACAGATCCATTAAAATAAAGAATCCACACACGACTATATAGATATTAGAATAATGAATTTCGGGGGCGACTCTGAGATATCAACACTGGGGCAAGGACTACGGTAAAGACTGTCGGGGGTAGACCTGGCAATTGGGTCAATCGGTTCGGTTCCGGTTCGGGTCTTTTCGGTTCGGGTCTCATTCGGATATATGTTATAATCGGTTTGGGTTGGTTCGGTTCGGGTTAGTTTGGTTCCGGGTTAATTTCGGTTTGACTGGTTTTCGGTTTCGGTTCGGTTTCGGTTCGGGTTTGTATCGGATCGGGTTTGTATCGGATCGGGTTTATATCGGTTCGGGTTTGTATCGGTTCGAGTTTATATCGATTCGGGTTTGTATCGATTTAGGTTTATATTAGTTCAAATATATATCAAATATTTACTAATAAATCAATAATATCACATAATAAATTTAATCAATTTATGATATACTCCGTAGTTATTTTATTATTTAACACGGACATACATAAAATTTAATCAATTTCGGGTCTAATCGGTTCCGGGTTTAATCGGGTTCGGGTTTTATCGGTTCGGGTTTTATCGGGTTCGGATCTCAATCGGGTCTGAATACATTCGGTTCGGGTTCGGTTCGGTTCGGATCATTTCGGGTGTTCTGGTCTATTTCGGTTCTTCAGTTTTCGGGTCAAATCGGGTTTGGTTTCGGGTTATTCAGTTTGGGTTATCAGGTCCGGGTCCGTTTTGCCAGGTCTAGTCGGGGGTGACTCAGACCCTTTCTCGCTAGAGGTGGGGTTACACCAAGGGTTTGCCCATAGCCCATTCTTGTTCGCCCTGGTGATAGATGTTGTGACGCGGGTAGTTCAAGGAGAGGTACTGTGGTGCATGCTTTTTGCTGACAATATTGTGCTTATCGATAAGACACACGAGGCACTAAACGACAAGTTAGAACTTTGGCACCTTTCACTAGAATCCAAAGGATTTAAGATGAGTGGAACCAAGACTGAATACTTGGAAGGTGTTTTTAGTGGCCACGTGACAGAATCAGGAGTGGAAGGATTGAGTTTCAACCAATGCCCAAGGTTGACAAATTTCAGTATCTTGGCTCTGTTATTCAAGCATATGGGGAGTTGGAAGGGGATGCTACACATCGTGTTGGAGCAGCTTCAGCTAAGTGGAGGTTGGCTTCAAAGGTGCTGTGCAATAAGAAGATTTCGACTAGGATGAAAGGTAAGTTCTATTGGTCCGTGGTTAGACCAGCTATGATATATGGTGCGAAGTGCTGGCTAGTTAAGAAAACCCATGTTTGCCAGTTGCATGCATCCGAGAGGCGGATGTTACTTTGGATGAGCAGTCACACAAGGATGGATAAGATTCGGAACAAGGTTATCCACGACGAGTAGGCATGGAACCAGAGGAAGATAAGCTTCGGGAAGTTAGGTTGAGGTGGTTTGGACATGTGAGACGACGGACATGTGAGACGACGGGGATTGGAGTGCTAACACTCCAATACGGAGATGCGAGAGGCTTGCGTTGGTGGGCGGGAGTGGGAGAAGGGGTAGACCTAAAAAGAATTGTTAAGGCGTGATTAGACAGAACCTAGGAACCTAGGACTGCTTGCCCTTACTGCTGATATGGCCTTAGATAGGAGTTTTGGAAAGCCAGGATTAAGATACTAGGGTAGGCATTTCAAGCTAGGTGATAGTTGATGCATTCTTTGTTGTATGCTTTGTACTATAGTGCTTTCCTTTAGTTTGTTCTGTCTCTTTGTGCATTGTGCTCTCTCTACTCTATGTGCCTTTGCGATCTTTTATAATTAGTGCTGCATGAGCCGGGGGTCTTTTGGAAACAGCCTATCTACTTTCAAGTAGAGGCAAGGACACACCCTCCACAGGCCCTACAATGGGATCTAACTAGGTTGTTGTTGTTTACAAGTTCACTGTACTTGGTGTTTTCATTAAAATAGATTCATACATTCCATTTTTATGCTAGTTTCTTCGTAATAAACTATACTAAGCCAAATAGTAGCCAATAACTAACTAGTATGCAATGAATACTTCTTGAGAGAATACTTAAAGAATAACATTATGCGCCATACGAAAAGTTCCTAAAAATGAGATGTATTGTCACCATATTTCCTATTAGCATCCCTTAAGGAAATGTGACTCCTGGTCTCTCATGAAATATTGTACATAGAAACCAGACCATAATCTCTTTTAAAACTAAGTTAAACATGGATGGAGATGGAGAAACGAAAAAGAGAAACCCCAACTTTTCCAATTTTTATAAAGGATTTGACAGACATCATCAATTCCAGAAAGGGAGAGATCAACTGGTAATAACTAATAATTTTTCATGATCTTTCAAATAAATCAATTGTTAACAAAGCTCACACTGGCTGGTCAAGATTCTAGCACACTCCCAAAATATAATAAATATAAAGCAGCCATGGATTAAGTTGAAGATCAAGTGTCCTCCAAGTACTCGGGAGGGTTTTCCATTCCCAAGACTAATCTCACAAAGCGTTTTCATTAAAATAGATTCAAACTTTCCATTTATTATGCAAGCATAGTTATGAAAGGCGAGTGGCGAGTGGCAGGACCTTTTTTGTGGCGAGTGGCGGGCGATCAAATGGCGAACAAAAAAAGCGAGAATTTATACACGCACGCACACACACAAACACATAAAAACAAATTGTGCATGGCATATCATAGTCTTAAACAATATATGAATCTCAAAGGAAAACAAAAACAATAAGTTGCCAAGTTAAATTCGAAAAATAAAACATAAATTATTTTCCATATTTATCATATATAATAGTGTCACGAATTGAAAAATATAATGCACAAATTAAAAATTGAAGAATAATACACAAAGAATAATACAAAAATTGAAAATATAATACAAAAAATTAAAATAAAAGTATAAAACACAAATTAAAAAAAAAAATATAAGAATTTAAAAGTGACCAACTTGACTGCCGGCACCACTTGGAGGAAATCGACTGAGAAATAGCCGCTGGAAGCTGTGACCTGCTGCTGCAATAGAAGACTGGGAGCAGATTCGCAGCTGAATCGAGTGGAAGAGACGATCGGGCTATGACTGGAACGACGATCGGGTTATGGGAAGATGTAATTGCGGATCTTTAATTAGAAACGGGCTCAAGCCCAATTTAACTGCTCCCTTGGATGAAGTCTGGACAGTGACAAAAATTGACCCACCACTTAATTGTGTCAATTGCGAACGCCATACGCCATAATTAGCAACGAAAATGGGGGTCGCCATTCCTCGCCTCAAGGACATCGCCATGCATAGCGCAATCAAGGCGCCATAGCCTCGCCACATCGCCATAAATGCCATAGGCGATCAAGGCGCTCGCCATTCATAACTATGTATGCAAGTTTCTTCGTCATAAACTATATGAACCCAAATAGTAACCAAAAACCAACTAGTATGCAACGACTACATTTTGAGAGAATACCTGAAGAATAACCTTATGTGCCATACAAAAAGTTCCTAAAAATGAGAGGTATTATCACCATCTTTCCTATTAGCGTCTTTAAGGAATTGTGGCTCCTGATTTCTCATGAAATATTGTACATAGAAACCAGACCATAATCTATTTAGAAACTAAGTTAAACATAAACGGAGATGGAGACGCGAACAAGAGAAACGCCAACTTTTCCAATTTTTGCGAAGGAGTTGATGGACATCATCAATTACAAAAGGAGGAGAGAACAACTGGTAATAACTAATAATTTTTCATTATCTTTCAAATAAATCATTTGTTATCAAAGCCAACACTGGCTGGTCAAGATTCTAGCACACTCCCAAATTATAATAAATAAAGCAGCCATGTTTAAGTTGAAAATCAGGTGTCCTCCAAGTACCAAGGAGGGTGTTCCATTCCCAAGACTAATCTGACAAAGAATAAGCCTAACAATGAACAGATCGAACAAACCCCTGTCAACCTAGTTTGCAAGAGCCCACCTTTTTATGCCATTTGATATCCCACAAACATCACAGGGACAGCAGCAGCTGGAGACAAACCAGAAGCACCTTGGATGCCATGGATTCAGCAATGTCCTCTAGCTCTACAGACCTACCTAAATTTATCGTTTTAACCGTATTGGGCAATTAGGGCGAGTGATAGTATCGGGGATTCTTTTTAATATATAAAATGCATGGGGGAACGACTTCAAAGTATGCATGGGGGAACGACTTCAGAGTACGACTTTAAGTATATCTGCGGGAGTGCGGCTGCTTCCTATCAACTCCATACTCAATTGGGACCATCAGTCTTCGGAGCTTGTGGGGAGACTTGCCAGAGTGATACTCTGTTCCAGAGCTTCCAGCCTTCCACACCTACAGGAGTACATTCTTGAGTTTCCTCCAGCAAAGTTCTTTCTGCATTTGGCTTGTGAAGAATTTTAATTTAATTTTTTCATTTGATCTGCTTTTACATTTTGCTCAATTATTTTGTTGTGTTGCATTTGGTCACTGTAGGACAACAGGTGCATCTCAATTACTCCGTAGTATTTTTGCTATTTGGTCGAATAATTATTACTCCCTGCTGTGGATTTCTAAAAATATTGTTTTTTTAATATTTAGGATTTGCACTGTTGGGCAACAAAAGGGTAAAAATGATTCGATGGATAAGCGGTCATACAAATAAGGAATAAAGATATGAAAGCTAAAATTGGAGTGCCACCTATTCTAGAGAAGACGGTGGAAGCCCGTCTATGGTGGTTTGGACATGTAGAGAGAAGACCCACAGAGTACCCAGTGAGAAGGGCTGATCAAAAAGTGAATAAACATGTGGTTAGAGGACGAGGTAGACTTAAGAAAACTTGGCACGAAGTGGTCAAATTAAAGGGACCTTCGCGTGAATAATCTCATTGCAGATATGAAACTTGATAGGGCGCAATGGCGTTGTTTGATCCATGAAACCGACCCCACCTAGTGGGATGAGGCTTGGTTGTATAGTTAGGATTTTCTTTTTAATGTTTTATTAAAAAGGTTGAGTATACTTGTCGTACTCGCATCTTGTAATTTTTAAAAATGTTGTTCTCCATCTCCATATATGCATCTGTACCCGTCCAAGTGCAACTTAGTTGTCAACACACATAAAGCTTTGAAAATTAAAAAACTAGGCTATTAAGCTAAGCATAGAAAATAATTGACTGGTATTTACCAACACTGCACAAAACAAAGCCTGATAGGATATCCTCTTCCTCAATCCCAGATACTCTAACTCGTAAGTTCTCTCCAGGCCCCGCTTGTCGCACTTTATCTTCATCAATGAATAAGGCAAGAACTTTAACATGAGCCTGAAAAGGCAATGAAAATGAAAACTCTGAGATGGTAATTCAAAATATCTTCGAAAAAAATCAAAGGTTCGTGAAAAGCACCTTATTGGGCATCACCAACAGACTGTCACCTTCACGCACGCTGCCATTTTCAACTTTACCCATAACTACTGTTCCCATATCTTTAAATTTATCAATTAATGGCATTCTACAAATAAATACACAGAGTTAGTAGAGATCCTCAAAAAACAAAGAGGATATGAAGGGTTTGTCCGGCAAAAGAAAACGCACAACGCATACAACACAGTCGGTTCCCACAAGTTATAAGTGGGGTCTGACAAACACTACAAGTAACTATATTAAAATTAGCTAAACAATAAACTACCGAAAAGCATTCTACACTTCTATTGGAAATCTGACAGTGAGTGGCCAAAACAAAGGCAAAATACACGAGTAACCACACACACTACTGACAAACTTTCTGACTGGAAATTTGAAAGTAGGTAAGTGGCCAATTGGGGGGGCAGAATTATTACCTGAAAGGACCATTAGGATCACGGTACGGGACTTCAACAGCATCAAGAGCTTCGAATAGACATGGGCCATTCCACCACGGACAAACACTTTTAGCCAGTTGAGTTTTCAGATTTGAACCCAAAAGCCCAGATATGGGAAGAAATCGAACGTCTATAGATAAAAAATAAACTTTAGAAATTGAATTGTTAAGATTTGCATTTACAAATTTAAGCAAATCTAGTTTCGTTATTTATGATAGAAATTAAAGATAAGAGTTTGAAACAAATTAATCACCAAAGAAAATCTGTACACAAAGGAATATTATCCAATTCAGGACATTGCAAATATGTGCCAGTATAGAGAATGGAGCCTTGGAGTGTGGGAAACTTAAAGAGAACTCAGAGTATGTTCAAAATGAAATGGACTAATAGTGAGTCAACATTAAAGCATTGGGCTTAATGAACCACAAAACAATAAAAAAAAGTGGTTTTCAGTAAATGGCCTTACTGCCTCGGGAACTTTTTTGGTTCATGTAGCGAACCTCATTTATTTTGTTATAAGTTCTAATGTGTGGCTATTGTCATTAATGGTGTTGATAAATGGAAAAAACATGCAACATTGTATTAAAACAAAACATGAAATGTGAGTTATGTACTTTTAAATATTAATAGTACTTAATGAGACAACCCTCGCAATCGTCAGAACAAGAATCTGAATCTGAAGTAGCAAATACTCAATTCTATATGGAAGTCTAGAAAGGGTACCTAATACTCCCTCTGTTCAAAAATTAACTTCCCAATTTCCTTTTTGGGCCGTAGGAAATTCTTCTCATTTCCTTATTTGGCGAAATAATTTGTGTTATAGGCCTTACTTACCCTTGCAACCGAACGGATTACTAGACAGTTCCGCAGTATTGTCGCCTACTACGAAGGGGGAAGTTCCCTGGCTAGCAAAACCCTCAAAAAAACCAGTGGCAGAACCTCTGCAGAACAAATCAAATCACTTGCAGAACTACACCATCAAAACTGATGTCCATAGTTCTACATCTGCCATTGCTTCTGCACTCCAAACTCGTCAACAACCATCTTCAGAGTTTCAGATCTAATGGCCTATTTTCTTTGTCTGAACTTATTAGTTCTGGATCTGAATTATTTATGGTTAAATCTGAACCTGAATCATTGTGATCTGATATGAATCTTTTTGGTCTTATATGATCTAAACTGAACCGATATGATCTGAACCTCAATTTTTCTGATCTCATCTGATTCCAAGGTAGTCAAACACGAAATTCTACGTAAGATCGCTAGGCTTAATAAAGATGTAACTCAGATCGTCAGATCCTATATATATATATATATATATATATATATATATATATATATATATATATATATATATATATATATATATATATATATATATATATATATATATATAGGGATTGACTCCAGTGAGATGACACTTTATGGTGAGATGACATGCTTCAGTCAGATGACGCAAAGCTCACCACACTACACTACGAAGCTCACCAATGGACAATGCAAAGCTCATCTGGAAATAAAGCAAAGTTCACCACTTTGAATACCAAAACTTACCTTTTTCTTAAATTTTGAAAATTAAAAAATTAATAGCAACACCGGTCAACCACCGGTCAACGGCAGTGGCAGGCGGCGGAGCAGCGGCGGCCGGCGGCGGCACGGCGACCGGCGGTGGCCGGAGGTTGCTTCCGGCGACGGCTTCCGGCGGTGGCGGCCGGAGTCCGGAGGCGGCGGCCGGAGGCAGACGGCGGTCAATGCTGGCGGTCAATGGTCAAAGTCTAGTCAGCACCTTTCCTTTGATTTTAATTTTTCAAAAAAAAATTAAAGTGTTGAAAAAATATGGTGAGCTTTGCCTTACAGTTTGGTAGTTTTGTAGTTATCTTTGATGAGCTTTGCAGTGGCTAGTATGAGCTTTGCGTCATCCGACCGAAGCATGTCATCTCACCATAAGGTGTCATCTCACTGGAGTCAATTCCATATATATATATATATATATATATATATATACACACACACACATACCCACACGCATAAACAAAGGACATAAATAATTTTACAGAACATATGAAGAGAAAGGTAATAATTAAAATAAGAACTTGGCTAATAAATTCATTGCCCACGGGCAGAAAAAGGAATCCACTGCTCACTTAAAAAAACAGAATGAAACGTAAAAGTAAAAAAAAAGTTTAATATAGATTAGAATAATACCTGGGGAAAAAAGTGACAGATCCAAATTCTTAAGTATTTAGGTGTATTTGTGTTTGAAGTAGGTTTGGAAAGAGTCACGGCCGTAAAAACTGAAGGGATGTAACCTAGAGTTTAGAATTTCCGCATTTGAAATACTTTCTATTTTTGATCGCCGATCCGAGACGATACGGCGATATTACGATCCTAATCGCTGATCTGCACAATTCTCACACTTGCGATCTTCATCGCGATTCAGATCGCTAAGGTCAAAACGATCTGCGGAATCGTAGGATCGTATGATCCAGATTGCGATCTTGACTACCATGTCTGATTTCAATATAAATAAGTAAAAAGTAATAAGAACAAGCTGAAGAGAGCAGGCCCTAAATTTCATCACCTGCAGAGCTATCATCGCAACTGTCTTCGTCATATCGGATTCCATCGCTTGCTTCAATAATGTCGCAGGCAGAGGGGCGTGGGATTGAACAGTGCTGGAGCGGATAATTAGAAAATTGCAATTAAGGGAAATAAGAAATAAGCGTGCTAGGTCGACGTTGGAAATTAATTTCCGATTGGAGGGAGTACAAGCCAAAGTTTATATCCGAGAGGGAGGGACTAGAAAGGAAGTAAGGAACCATCTAATGGTGTAACAACTCCCAAAAGTTCCAAGTCTCAGGGTTAAAGGTCCACCTACAAGGATGCAACCTCAAACTCAAAGATGAAAGCATAAGTGGTTCAAAAAGCTGATGAATTCAAATGTAAGTAGAATTATGAGGACTCATAGAGGAGATATCGTTTGAGTTTGAAGATGAGGGATAGTATTAACTTGAAGACACAGAAGATGAATAGACAGTTTTTATCTATGTAGATTATTATGCAGATTGACATTTTTTAAGCTCCACAATTCTTTAATTATTAATACTGTTTTATACCTCTCATTCCCATAAAAAAAACTGTTTCTGAAGTTAACTTTGTTCTCATAAAAATAGTACAACCGGAATCAAAGATGCTAGTTTTCATCATATTTAATGTTTTATTATTATTATTACTATTATTATTATTATTACTATAAAAAGCATCACAAATAAGTTGAGTGTGTTAAATGTAGTTAAACCAAGAATTAGATTTAGAGATATAGGTATATTTGAAAATTTCTAAGAGATGTAGCTTTTAAAAGTAAGAAGTTGAACGCCTGTACCTTTGTCGATAAGGACTGTTTATGGTGTTTTATGGGGGGAGTGATATAAAACATTTTGTTTGGCTAGTTTGGAAAAGCCACAACAATATTTTATCTGTCATTATAGCACTGGATTACAAAAATGATGATGTAAGAGAAATTAATTGCTTACCTTTCTTCACATTATATCCAGATGATTTCAGAAATGGTGTCATTTTCCCCTCGATTTCATCATACCTGAAAAGATAGAATCCCACTCTGGTAATGGAGAAAAATAAAAGAATTCAAAAACAACCACTCTGATAAACACCCTTCAAAGCAGCACCTTTCTTTTGACCAGTTGACGGTAGGTTCATCCATTTTATTCACAGCAATGATGAGCTTTGTGACCCCAAGGGTCTTTGCAAGTAGAACATGCTCGCGTGTTTGTCCACCTCTTTCATATCCAGTTTCAAACTCACCCTTCCTAGCCGATATCACCTAAATTACAAGACAAAGTAGTTGTTTAGAATAAGGAACAAATGACTCTTCCAGTGACTCCTCTTGGAGTCCACACTTTGCAGCATCATGTTGTATTTATCTTGAAATCTTCTACAACTTCCATGGTTAGACCAAATCCAAATTTCATTATTTAGATATAAAAAAATAGCCCAAAGTTTATACACACACACACACATATATATATTTATTTATTTATATTTTATATATTTATATGTGTGTGTGTGTACACACACACTCCATCCGTCCCAAAATAATATAGTCATGTCATCTCTAGTTGTTACTATTGAAAAAGAAGCACAGACCGTCTAAAAAACCATTTTGATTTATTCCATCTTACTCCAAAGCCAAATAAATTGGATTGAAAATAAATTCAATCTAGCCTCGTTATCCGTAAAGAGACTACTACGGGGTATTATTTTGGGACGGAGACAGTACATTTCATGCTTGGTTTTTTCAATTTTTTCCAAACTTTGAACTTTTTTTACAAACTATGAACTACTTTTTCTATATGTAAACTATGAAATTAGAAGTCGGTCCAAACATAAAAGTTGAAGAGGATGTTGAGATGAGTCCAACCATGTCCTTCCTAGAGCCTATCACCGGAGCTCGGCTCCAGCACGGCGCCAGAAAGTAAGGTGTCCAAGGGGAGTCACCTTGGAGAGGTCCATGGATCCCCACCCCCTCCTGTTTTTTTAAATTTTATAAAATAGATTCATTTCCCCAAACTGGAGACAACCCATCCATGGTGAAATCTAGTTTCATGACATCAATAAGTCACTTACCAGCACACCTATATCAGCTTGAGAAGCTCCACTAATCATATTGGGTACATAACTCTTGTGCCCCTGAAGAACATGGAATTGGTAAAGATAAAACCACGTGAAGCAAGGGCCAAAATGAATTTGAAACAACTAACGAATTGCAAATGTAAAAGAGCAGATTTGTGAATCTTTGGATCTCCAACACATGGGAAATATGAGAATTTTGTCTTAACCACTTCAAAATAACATCCAAAGAGAAAGTAAACTGAAGCCATTGCTTGGGCAGTTTACCGGAGCATCCAAAATAGTAAATCTTGTAGTTTCTGTTTGAAAGTGCGCTCTTCCAACTTCAACAGTAATCCCCTGCACAATCACAAATTACAATCACCAAAAAAAGAGATATGACCCCCCCACCCCAACTCAATAATTTTTTTAAGCAAAAGCAGAACCGAATAGTAGGTTATGTACTTATGTTCCATGATTCTGTGTGGTCTTGGAATTTCTTCTCATTGCTCCATAAGAAGCTAATGAGCAGCAAGAATAGTTGCGTGAACATTTTCCACTAATTCCTTATGCATGAGTTTGTAGTATTCACTAATTTTAAATAACTAATTGACTATAAATCTCGTGACACTAGCCCCGACATAGTTGGGATTAAGGAGTTCGATTATGATGGCGCTGATGAAACTATAGGACAGAAATTATGAGCTACAACGAACATGATTTTTTTAATCAAAACGGTTCCCTTGCCACTATGAAACAGTCTCCATTCGCAAAATTGATGGTTCCTACCCCCACTGTCCTCCTTTAATTAGCTAATTGCCTAATGACCACACATTTGATAGGGGGCAGTGGGGGCAGGGGTGGGGGTTTTAGGGGGTTAGGGGGGTAGCAACTATCAATTTTGAAAACAGAACACCGCAGGCACTCCAAAAAGCTAGTGACACGGTTTCCCGGTGGCAAGGGAACCACTCTCTTTTTAATAAGGAATTATTAACTATCAAGTATCAAGTGAATACCTTATCCCTCTCTTCTTCATTTGTGTCCATAATATATGCCATATACCTAATACGGTAAAAAAATGCAGGTCAATATTCTAGGCAGGCATTATGAAGCTTGCAATGAGAAAAAAACACAAAACTACTTAAAAACGGAATACATATAACCAAAAAACATACTCCCTCCGTCCATTTTTAATGTTCAGGGTTTGACCGGGCACGGAGTTTAATAAAAGTTAAAATTTGTTTTGACTTTACCAAAATACCCTCCTCCACCTTACCCCACTTTCACACCCGTTCTGATTAATGAGGCCTGGTCCAAGCTCTTGTCGCCCAACCCCTTCCTTCCTAAGAGAAATTCCGGCAACCCAAAATCTAGTGAATTTCCAGCGAGAGAAATTCAGGCAAATAAAGTCGAGCATTCTGTTCTTGCACCAAGGTGTAAGAATCGGAGAGATCTGAAGGAGATGAAGAAGATGAAAAAGATCTGAACTGGATCTCTTCATCGACACTGAAGAAGATGAAGGTGAAAAAGATCTAAAGACGATCGTTCGTCGATTCATAGATCTGAATTGATTTTCTCAGATCTGACGGACAAGAAGTAGGAGGAGAAGAAGAAGAGAAAGGAAAAATGTGAAGGGGGGAAGAAGAAGATGATGAAGAAAGGAAAAATCGGAAGTAGATGAAGAAAGGAAAATTTAGAAGGGGGAAAGAAGAAGGAAAGATCGAAAGAAGGAGAAAAGGGAAGGAAAATTCAGAAAAGGAGATGAACAAGAAGGGAAAATCGGAAGGAGAAAAGGGAAAGGAAAACTCAGAAGGGGGAAGGATTAAAGAAAGAAAGAAGGAAAGAAGAATGAGAAAAAAGTGCGTGTGAACGGCAGAGTAGAAAAAAAGAAAGAAAAAAAAAAAGAGAAGAGAAGAGAAGAAATGAGAGAATAAAAATAGTTGATAAGGAAGGGTAATTTAGCCTTTTTAATTAAAAAAATTTACCAAATAAGGAAACATGAACTTTATTTGTGGACGGACGAAAAAGGAAAGTACGAACATTAAAAATGGACGGAGGGAGTAAAAAGATAAAATGGGATATTAACAAAAAAACGTAAATCATTTCAAACATTAAGCATGTGGTGTCAACTAAAAAGATAGAAACCATCGCAAGAATCAGACCAGAGTACATCGTTTTCACTAACAAGGCATCACAATGCAAACTAAGGTTTCACCACAATGTCAATTGACACAATTCCACTTGAAGTAATGCACCTCGTAGCTAGTAAAGGTCTAGTGTTGCGTTAGGATTTCCACCTTTCCTAAATTTCATATTTGTGAGTTGTTATAATTTACTCCTTCCATTCACTAAAAAAGTACCGTTTCTTGGCATGCTTTTGTCCAAAAAATGAGTCCTACTAGTAAAAACTAGCTACTTTCATTTCTTATAATGTGTGTGCCTTACTCAAAACTTTTTAAAAAAAGTTTTACTTTGATTAAAGCGGAGTCTTTTTTTGGGACAGAGGGAGAAAATTTTAACAACTGCAGCACTTTGGTATTTATAGACTTTAATGCAGCAAGTTTATTATCATCAATGCATACACTTTTAAATTAAAATAGTACATATTATACAATGGAGTCTTTTCAATGATACTCCGTATGTATATTCGAAAAATTCAAAAGCAATCAAAGAGGACTTCCATTTCTGTTCACAAGACCAAGCAAGTTTTCTATCCAGAACTCTGCGCTAGATGGTAAGATACGTGATCTAGTGAAATAAACAAGTTGTTCACCCCCACTGTGTTAATACTGCACTGGGACACCCTAAACTAAATTAAGCCAAACAAAACTTCCAATAAGTGCTCTTCCATTAAAGGATTGCTAAGAGACACCAATTTAGCCAACTAATTAAACATGAAAGCAAGACTAACCAGCTCTCTCTACTTTTATCCTTTGCTTCCTTCTCATACTTCTGGATTGTACGGTCATCTACTTGTCCACTAAGGAACAATATCTGTCCTCCAATGGTTGATTTGCCGGCATCTGAAGGCATGGGAGAAAGAGGAAAGGTAAAACACACGTCACAAGTTATGAAAATATGCAATGATTCCAAATCCAAGTAGTAGCTTGCAATCTACAAAGCAAAATTGTCTGCAAATGCTATGCATTTGGCAGAAACACTTTTCCCATCCCATGTTACTGACAGATGCTCATTTAGATAAGAACATTAATAATTATTCAGTTGAGCATTCAAAGGATTTCCAACACACAAGCACACACACACATACAGATAGAGAGAAAACAATCACATACCAACATGCCCTATGAATACGACATTCAGATGACGCTTTTTGGGGATTTCTGCTTCATCATCTTGAGCTGATGTTTTCTTTTCTTTTTCTGTAAGAAATACAAAATGGGATGAAAACTTAAAATTAATTGTAAGAAAAAAGGGTAAATATTTAATGCTAGACAATATCAATGCGTTTTGGAACAACACTGCACTATTGCACTCAGCCAAAATTAATTCCATGGAGTATGTTACAAAAAAAAACAGTGAGGAAACTTGACACAAAACATTGTGTGGAATCTTTAGAACGAATGAAATAACATAGGCATTTAGGGGTAACAAGTTATGTCAAACATATAATAATAACAACAACCCAGTTAAATCCCACAAGAGTAGGGTCTGGGGAGGGTGTGTGTACGTAGACCTTACCCCTACTCGAAAGTAGAGAGGCTGTTTCCAAAGAGACCCCCGGCTCAACATCAAAAGTTGCATTGCTTGACTAACTGCTACTTCATTAATTAAAGAAGCGCAGACAGTTTAGAGATCCATTTTGATTTATTCCACCACACCCCAAAGCCAAAAAATGGTGAAATTTTGGCTCCATCGGAGATGATGGAAAAAACATATTATAATAATAATAATAATATTATTAATAATAATAATAATAATATCAAGATAACCTCTCGTAGCTCATGTGAGGGGTGAGCATAAAAAATAGCTCCAAACAAAAATAAGATGTGATATTTGAGGAAATAATAAAGCTTACCCAGCAATTTAAACAACCCATTTCACACAAGACGAACAAAAAAGGACATTTATGGAAAGATGTGTATAGATTTTAATGTAATTTTATGCAAAACGAATGTAATATCTTCATCACCCTCATGCCCCAAACCCCACATCCCACCCCCCCCCCCTCCATAAAACCAGACAAGTTTTGCTTTTTAACACAGATTAAACAAAAATATCTGAATAAACAGTTGACAATAAGAAATGAAACAAATAATCAATTGCATACCTTCTATAGAGCCTTTGGGGTCTATATGGATTGGTCTTGAGTTTGCTTGTGGCTCCTTTTCAACTTGTATAACAAACAAATGTTAGCACAATACAAGATCCTAGTGTAGATGGAAAATATAATAGCACACAGAGTCATCCAGAAAAGTTAAGCTACAAATCATAAACTGTAGTTCTGAAAATATCAAAACTACATAAAATAAAACTAAAAATGTTTGCTGGAACAATATGCCCATCTGGTTTCCTCTCCTTGGATAGGAATGGTGATGCGTATAGGTAAAAGTGTAAAACAGAGAATTGTAGTCTCTTCATTTTTTTTCCATTTAAAAAACGCAAGTCTTATTCTTATTTGCGTGATTGAATACATAATAGTTTTGAAATTATAGTTGGCATATCACAATCAAGTTCTACTTAGAAGTTAGAACTGAGAAGAGGTGTATATTTTTGCAAACTAGATCAGGTGGGTTGGAGATCTACTATTTTTAATTTGCATTAAGTGAGAAATACTTTGAACTTTTGACCCGTCCCTATCATATTTGGACCACATCCATATCCCCGCCTGCTTCTCCAAAAGTCCTACAATACACGAAGGGTCTGTGAGAGCCATGCCTTGAGCTAATTCACTAGCTTACTGCTAAAAAATGTTTCTTGAAAGAATGCATAACTGAGTACAGAAAATTCTTTGACAGTTCAAAGATCACAGACTGTCTTTTTTGCTTTCTAATTGAAAACGAGAGTATGTCAAAGGATGACAGTCTTTTTTTTCACTTGAAGGTAGAGGAGTTCCGATTGCTTACACACTCGCGATCAAGGATATGTACGATGGGGCAAGAACTAGGGTAAAGACCACCGGAGGCAACTCTGAACTGTTTTCTGTAGGGGGTGGGGTTGCACCCGGGGCCTGCCCTTAGCCCTTTCTTGTTTGCTTAGGTGATGGACGCCCTTAGGCGGGGAGTCCAAGAAGAAGTCCCATGGTGCATGCTTTTTGCGGATGATATTGTGCTTATCAATGATACACGCGAGGGCCTATATGACAAGTTAGAACTTTGGTGTCGTTCCCTGGAGAACAAAGGATTCAAAATTAGTAGGACCAAGACCGAATACAAGGAATGTCGTTTCAGTGGCCAGGAGACAGGGTTAAGGATGGATGTGAGAGCTGACTCCCATTTATTGCCCAAGGTTGACAAGTTTTGGTATCTCGGCTCGGTAATTCAGGCAGATGGGGAGTTAGATACGGATGTTGTGCACCGTGTTGAAGCAGCTTAGGCTAAGTGGAGGTTGGCTTTAAGAGTGTTGTGCGATAAGAAGATTTTCTCATAGGATGAAAGGCATGTTCTTCTGGGTTGTAGTGAGACCAGCAATGCTCTATGGGGCAAAGAGCTAGGCGGTTAAGAAGATTCACATGCACCGTCTTCATGCAAGAGATGCGGATGATGTGTGGATAGGCGAGGCTGTATAGGATTCTAAACGAAGTTATTCGAGTTTGATTAGGGATGGAGCCAGCGGAAGATGAGCTTTGGAAAGCTAGGTAGTCATATGAGACAGCGAAATGCTAACGCTTCTGTGCGGAGATGGGAGACGCTTACGTTGCTAGGGGCAAATAGGAGAAGGGGAGAAGGGGTAGACCTAGGAAGAGTTGGAAGGAGGTGATTAGACAGGACATAGGACTTCTTGTTCTTACTAAGGATATGGCCTTAGATAGGAACGTTTAGAGGGATAGGGTTAGAGTAGCTGGGTAGGTGCCTTGCGCTAGGGGGTGTTGTTGTTGTGTGCTTAGTAGGCCTTTTAGGCTTTTATGTTTGGTGCTTTTTGCTATTTGTTTGCAATACTCATTTTGTAACTTTATTTAATATAATTTAGTTTAAATTCTGTGTGCTTGGTGCTTTATTGTGTTGTAGCTACTTTCCTTGTTTTATGTATCTATTGTGATCTTTTTATGTGCAGCTTGAGTCAGGAGTCTCATGGAAACAACCTCTCTACTTTCGGATAGGGGCAAGGTCTGCGTACACACACCCTCCCCAGACCCTACTCTCGCGGGATTTGTTGTTAAAATAACGAAATAAGAGGAGCCTTCATGATGAGTAATTAATATAAACATCATGTGGAATTATCTTTTAACAAACTTTGAATGTGAGTACATGATTCTCTCAGGGGTTCTTTTGTAGCTTGTTTTTCAATTTCACATCATATTCATATGTACAGTTCATCAGTTCTTTAGACTCTTTAGTATTAACAAAGTGACAAATTAAATGTAGAACCATCATCTTAACCAAATAAACCAATAGAGATAATTATGTGCTACTGTTTACTGATAGTTTAATAACAACAATAATCAACCAAGTAAAATTGCACAAAGTGGGTTTTGCAGGGTAGGTAAACACAGACCTTACCCCAACTTAGATACATCTTAGATAAGGTAAAAATAATGTTTCCAAAAAACCCCCGGCTCAAGCACAGAGGAGTACTAGATCACAAACAATAAAATCATTGTAGGTACATTAAACTACCTAAAAAAGAATAGAAAACAGAGGGTATATTAAATGAACAATTAAACATCCTCCATCAACAAAAAAATAAACTGTGGGCAATACCTGGTTTGTTAATTTCAACTGGATTTTCATCTTCATCAGGTTTGCCGTCATCAGCAATAGTCATATGAGTATCTTGTGTTCAAAAGTCAGCCACATTAGAAAGTACATAACGAACCATTATGTTAAAACTACAAGTCTCTAAAGTATAATTGACTTAAGTTATTTCAGCATTTAATAAAATAGACAGATGATCTTAGTGATGGAGATATACCAGATGAATCAAGCTGAAGCGCCCTGATATCCTCTTCAATATCTGATAAAGCATAAGTAAATATCTTAGGGTGGGAAAATCAAGCTGGCAAACCAATCTAACTATCCCACACTCAAAACTCATATGAAATACTAGCACAAATTTTAAACCGCACATCAAATAGTTTAATAAATATAATATCATATGGAGTAACTCATTATCATTAAAAATCAATAAGCAGAGTCATGAACTCATGATACTACAACAATTCACAAGTCAAAAAACAACTTAAATCTAAAAACTTCCCCTACTACATAACACCGATGCATAATTGCTCCATTATGCATCATAAGAGGATGTGAGGCGTCACTGGAGCCACCAGGACACTCACCAGCAGCCGCCTCCGCAGAAGATGTTGGATTTGAAGGCATCATGACGCCGTCTAGAACTGGAGCGCACAGAGAAGCTAGATGGAGGAGTAGAGAGAGAAAGCTCGCAGCTGCCTGGCGTCGTACCGAATTAAGATTTGGAGAGTGTATGGAGAGAGTTTCTCAATTTCTACTTTTCACCTAGAATATATGGATAGAGTTGAAATGAACTCTTACATTTCTTAAATATTACGAGTATGAGTATTTTGCATCCTCACAAAATATAATTTTTCTCATTTACCTCATTAATTTATTTCTATGCTTTTCTCCCAAAGAAATACTGTAAATGGTAAAATTGTTCCCTCCCCTTGCAGGCTTTGAACGTCCCACACGAGACCCCGAGACTCTATTCCCCCCATATGATATGATAGTATCTAGTTTGATGTAATCGAATCTAATCTAATTGTATCAGATTTAATTCAATTTGATTTGATTGGATCTAAGCTCATATGATTGAACTTGATCTGATTTGATTAGGTTTTGTTTGAAGAAAATCCCCTAAATAGGAGTAAAACATTGAGCTTAACCCTAATGTAAGAGTCCATTGATTATATACCCAAAATAGGAGTAATTACCGTCCTCTTAAACGGCAGTTTGAAATCCTCCGTTTCTTCTTTTCTTCGGTTCAGCAATCCTTCCTCTCTGCCTTTTTCCTTCGTCTCTTTCGTACCAACTGCCCAGCGGCAACTCTTCTTCGCTGCTTCGTTGCTTGCGACACACTCTTGATTCTTCTATTTCGCTTTTCAATTCCCCATCATCTACGACTTTATTGTGTCAATTTCAATTCGCTTTTCAATCTCCCATCATCTTCGATTTTACTGNCATTCACTTATTGAATGCAGTGACATGTGCATCATCTCAGACCGTCATGATGGTATCTTGTTTGCAGTAGATAAGGTGTTTCCTTCCATTCCTCATTGCTATTGTACTGAACATATATTGCGCAATCTCAAAGGGAAATTTAAGGGCAAATCAGAATCAATTGAGTGGAAGTTCAGAGCTGCTTCTCGGGCTGCTACTGTTGAAGAGTGTGAGGAGTATCTTTCAATGTTCGATGAGGATGATCCACGTATACGGGTATACCTTGATAAGATTGGAGTTGCAAAGTGGGCTATATGTAAGAGTCCAACATCACGTTACTCCTCCATGACTTCAAATTTGGCTAAGTCAATGAACAATGTCAATAAAAATGCACGGGATTATTCTGTAGCAAAATTGGTTGAATTCCTTCGTGGTAGGATGCAACGATGGTTCCATGAAAGGGCTGAGATTGCTAGTTCCACACGTACTCCTCTTCCAAAGAAGCTCGAGAATGAACTGGTTCAATTGCAACGTGATGCATTTCGGATGAAGGTCTGTTATTTTAAGAGTAGAATATTCACTGCTTCATGCATTTATTTTTCATCTTTCTTTGAATGCAGTTGATAATATAAAGTACATATTCTTGGGCACTATATTACTTATTATCAACTCACTATTATCTGTGGTGTGTAGGTCAATGCCTCCTGTTCATATGAGTTTGAGGTTACTGATAATGATTCTCGATCATTCATTGTCAACCTAAAGGAAAAGACTTGCACGTGCTGTGAGTTCCAACTTGATAAATTTGTATGTGTGCATACTGTTGCAGCGATTGGTAAACGCCCTAGGTTATCCTGCTACGAATTTATTTCCACCTTTTACAAATTGGAAGCATTGGTGTGCACATATGCTGGAATTGTTCATCCTATTGGTGATGTGTCTAGATGGGTGATTCCTCAAGAGATTCTATCAAGGAAATGTGACCCTCCATCTTGCAACAAGCGCCCTCCTGGAAGACCTAGGAAGAAAAGGTATCCTTCTGTAGGGGAGTTCCATTATGGCAAACGTAGAGTGGAGCAAAGATGTTCGAGGTGCAAGTCTCATGGCCACAACATGAAATCATGCACCAATCCAATTCCAATGGCAGATACAGCTCTTACTTAAGAGTTGTTTAGTATCATTTACTTTATCTCTTTCCGACTATATGTATTTCAATTTGAGATGTTCTTATTACGAATATGGATGATTTAATGTTTTATGTTCTTTTTGTTGAACAATATGGTCCTTGAACTCCACGCTTTATATTTAATAGCCAAATACTTGTTACATTTTTACACAATTTCAAGAGTTACACTTTATACGTCCATATATGACTCCATAAAATGGAATTTATTTCCCTGTAATAAATTTAAACAATACATTTAACACCATAGAGTGTCATTTTTTTCACAGTACTCTTGTAATTTCAAATTTATGTTTTATTCTCTATTTGTCTTTCTTAACACATTGTATTGGTTGTTTTATTCTCTATTTGTCTTTTTTTGACACAATTTAAATATATGCACTTTATACTTCCATTGATGGCTGTGTAAAGAGGAAATTATTTCACTAGAATTGATTTAAAAAACACGTTTAACACAACACAATTTCAACAGTTTCACTTTCACATTACTTCAAAACACAACAAAGGCACATGTGCCCAAACACAGAATTCTAGTACAGAATGAAACTAAGTCACAATGCAATATGCCAATGACCATCACTGACCATATGCATTGTTGTCATACACCAAAGGTTTCATCATACAAAGCAAAAATAGCAATAGAATTTTCAACCAGCTCAATACACAAAATAGATAATAACATCAATATGTTTTATAGTCACTCCTTTGCAGCCATATTTGACTCTGCAAATCGAACTAGCTCTGTAGCCATCTTCATCCTATATGCTGCCATCTGATCTGTACGAATGTCCCTAATGTCCATATCCATCATGAGGTACTCTGCAATTTTAAGCACAAACATACGACAACTCCCACTGCAAAAATCAAGAAATATATTAGGAGACCCTATTTAAAATATGTACAAAAAAAATCTCTCAACTACAATGTTTTGTTTTATATGTTGATACTTACGCATCAGTCTGTTTTGGGCAAAAATCTGCAGCCTTCAAATCAAGCTTGTTGTCTCCCATTGGTCCAGTAGGATGATTAATGTAGACATCACACAAATCTATTAACTTGGGTAGAAGGCATTTGATGCAAATACTATATTCAGCAATGTCTTTAAGAGATCTCCCTCCCTTTGAATTATAAACCCATACTATTTTGGACTCCACCGCTAACACTAGCAGCACCCAATGCCCCCCAGTATTCAGTGGCATATATACAAAATCTGATCGGGCCCATGGGAAAGCACACTTTCTTGCAAAACCAAACACTTCAACTGTCAAGTTTGAAACGCTTCCAACATCTTCTTTGGTTTTAATTTTCTTGTCAATATCGTCTTGATGCCGCTTAAGACATTCCAGGAAAAAAGGTGTCACAGTTGAGTATGTTTGTGTGAGCTTGTAGTTGAATCTTTTCACCTCCAAGTAAAACATGCCAACCTCCATATGCTGTTATGAGTATAGGAAAACAATATCAGGTCAGTACTTATCGACAATGCTACATACAGTGTCATTACAATTGGAAATGTTATTTTGAAAAACAACTTACGAGTGTATCCAATCACTCTTGATCCATGAAGAGATCATAAAGCCATGTTTTGCTGCTGATTATGAACTTATCCAATACGATAGGCTTCTTTGTCATGTTTTCTTCTCCTTTTGTATAAATCTTTCTGACTCTTGTTCTGGCCTTCCTCTTCAACACTCCACATTCAAGGAATGTCTTAAGTTTATCAATATCTTCTTGTGGGGGCATTTCCTTAGGGTTCAGGCTGAATGGTCCAATCACGACTTCCATTTGACTCAGAGTTACTTCAAACTTGCTCTTCACAGCTTCCTTCATTTTATGTGTCTTCTTTTGCACCTTTCGCCCTGAAAGTGAGAGCTTTTGGGGCTCTTTAGTTTGCCTCTTACTCTTATGTGTCTGCACACAAGGGGCTTCATTTTCAGCATTTCCATTGTATTCCTGCAAATTTGCAACATTAAGTTTCCATTTATGGCACAAGGTCCTTTTTTATCCATTATAGCATTCAATGTAATTCACTCACACTTATTGGTCGTGCATCAATTATCGTATCCATTTTCACATGCTCAACAAGCTCTTTAGTTGCAACATCCACATCCATACATTTCCCTTTTATATCCATCCCCTCTTCAGGCAACTGCAAAACAATATAAATAGTTACACTCTTTACAGCCAAATCTGACTTGATACAAAGATAATTATATACTCTGTCACACCGCACAGTGCCATCTAACACAGTATACTTTGTCACAAATAGTGCCATCTAACACAATACTCTTAATGAGTTAACACTTTCACATCATCAGAATCCTTTATACCACTTAGTTAGTATTTTCTTTTAAGAATGTTTACTTACAGTGATTCCTTGTTCATCAATTGTAGAATCCATCTGCACTTTCTCGAAATTCGCATTAGCTGCGGGCTCCATATCAGATCCACCTTCCTTCTCAAAGATCTGCATGGCAATAATAATGATAACACAGTTTCA